CTCCCAAGGTGCTGAGATTACAGGCCTGAGCAACCACATCCAGCCTCAGTCAATTTTTCTTTCCCTGTCTTTCCCATGAGTTCGAAGTGTGAGCTGAGTTCCTTGCTCCCATATCTCTGAAGGGAGTCCTCAGCACCAAGCTCTCCTGTCTCAGTGGGGTTACAGCACCCTATTCTGACCACATCAGTGCACTGAACTGTCTTTACCTCCTCCTAGTCTGGGAGCTCTCTCAGGCCGGACACAGGGCCTTATATGTGTCTGCACGCCCAGTGCCCCGCACAGGAGGAACGAGGAGCCTAGCCCTGCTTCTTCCACTTGTGCTCAATTTTCTTTGCATTACACCAGCCCTCCACTCAACTCCAGATAGTTGGAGGATGACAGACGGGTGACTCTTTGGGTGACTCTCAGATGTGTCACAAGCAGCAGAAGGTGAAGCTCTGACTGCAAGGACAGCGTCTTCCTAGTGCTGGAGACTCCACAGGCCTCATCCGGTCTCCTTTCAGCCGTCCTCTGAGATGAAGGGGGCTGCTCCATCAGCCAATCCCAAAGCCTGAATTGGGGGTTGAGGAGAAATGAAGCGTCAGCTCACATGCCTTGGTGGCGATTCTGGCTGTGGCCCAGCTTCTCTGTAGCGTCCCTCCTCCCTAACCAGACCCCAGCCACAAATCCCTGCCCTGCTTCTTCCAAACTTCATTCAGCCCCAGGGATGGCTCTGCAGGATGTGTGCAAGTGGCAGGCCCCTGACACCCAGGGACCATCACCTCACCTGCCTCAGGCTGGTGGCTGGCTTGTGCCTCGAGGCTGTGACCCTCAAACCTTCCTGCAGATCCATGGTCCCAGACTGGCCCACGGCACCACCACCTTGGCCTTCCGCTTCCGTCATGGAGTCATCGCTGCGGCAGACACACGTTCCTCCTGTGGCAGCTACGTGGCGTGTCCAGCCTCATGCAAGGTCATCCCTGTGCACCAGCACCTCCTGGGTACCACCTCTGGCACCTCCGCTGACTGTGCCACCTGGTATCGCGTGCTACAGCGGGAGCTTCGGCTTCGGGAACTGAGGGAGGGTCAGCTGCCCAGTGTGGCCAGTGCTGCCAAGCTCTTGTCAGCCATGATGTCTCGCTACCGGGGACTGGATCTCTGTGTGGCCACTGCCTTGTGTGGCTGGGACCGCTCTGGCCCTACGCTCTTCTACGTCTATAGCGACGGCACCCGCCTGCAGGGGGACATCTTCTCTGTGGGCTCTGGATCTCCCTATGCCTATGGTGTGCTAGACCGTGGCTATCACTACGACATGACCACCCAGGAAGCCTATGCCCTGGCTCGCTGCGCGGTGGCCCACGCCACCCACCGTGATGCCTATTCAGGGGGCTCTGTAGACCTTTTCCATGTGCGGGAGAGTGGATGGGAGCATGTGTCACGCAATGATGCCTGTGTGCTGTACGTGGAGCTGCAGAAGCTCCCGGAGCCAGAACCAGAGCCAGAGCCAGAGGAGGAGGCCAGCCATGCCCATCCTGAGCCTGCCACTGCCCACAGAGCTGCGGAAGATAGAGAGCTCTCTATGGGGCCAGGGGAGATGACGCCAGGAGACTCCAGGATGCCAGCAGGGACTGAGACACTGTGAGAAGCAGGACTTGGTTGGGGGTGGTCTAGGCCCTGGGAGCCGGTGGGAGGATGGGCAGCTAGGGGAGGGTCTTATTGGCAGCAGCCTCACAGCATCTGACTCTAACCTGTATGGGTTGCTGGCTTCATTTATGGCAAGTCTCCATGCTTTCATGCCTCCCAGAGCTATTATGGCTCTGCCCAACAAGTTCCTATTGACTCCCAATGGATTGGTCCAGCCTCCTTCTTGGCACCAAGTCCGTCTTTCGGCAAACGCTTGCAGCGTTCACTGCATGCCAGACGCACGGTAGGTGCTAGACCCTCTTTTCTTGCCATCTTCTTCGCTGCTTTTTTCCATCATCTCATCCCCAGTTTGTCTTAGTTTTGGTCCTCTGTGTGTCTCAGCTTCAGCATCTTTGTCTCTTTCTCCAGGTCACTTTGTCAGCATGGTGAGATGGGGCACCCGGGAGGGGAGCAGCCCCTCTCACAATGAGGCGCAGTGATAGACACCCCTTGGGTGGTGATGAGCTTGTCTTATCTGCTCTCCTCCTCTGCCTTGACCATATGACAAGAATGATTATTCCTTTACTGAATGCAGTTCTCATGACAACCCTTTGAGGTAAAAATGAGTCTCACTTTACAGAAGAGGAATCAGGTTCAAAGGGTTATGTGACTTGCCCGGGGTCACACAGTAAGTGTTGGAGATGAGGCTTAGATCCAGGCCTTCCCTCCAGGGCCCATGCTCTTTCAGCACAGCTCTCCCTCCCAGGCCTCCGCCCTGCCTTAGGTCTCTTCTCTGAAGGCTTCTGGGGAGGGATGCCAGGGAGAAAGTAGCTGGGCCAAGCCCCTGCCTGGTGGCCAGGGCTGAATGAACCCTGACGGCCTGGAGGGTGAGCTCAGCAGCTGCCCCGCTCCATGATGCACAGGCTCATGTGGCTTTATCTTCCAGGCCAGAAGCCATCCCCCACAGCCCACCCCTGCTCTCCAGCCTTCTGGGCCTGGCGGTGCTGCTGCCAGACTTCCCCTCTTCCTTTCTTCCCTTTGCCGTCTCTTCAGCCTCTCCTTCCCGAGGCTCCCTCTGGAGAATGAAGACAAGAGGGAGGTGGCTGTGCCAGTGGGAACTACCTGGCTAGCACATCCTCTCCTGCTCCTCCTGCCCCCCTGCTCCCACCCCCCCGGAAGCCCAGACTTGAAGATCCAGACTCACAGCTCCAGGAGGGCCACTGCCCCATTCTCCCCTGGCCAAATGAGACAGAAAGCACTGTTAACCTACGACATGGGGCCTTTAGGAAGGGTGCTGAAGTTGCTTTCCTCGCACCCAATGCTAAAGTTTCCAGTCCCAAGAATAACAGCCCCCTGCCTTCCCTCCTGGACGCCCCTCATCCCAGGCTCCAGCCTAGGCCTGAGCCTTAATCTTGTACCCCAGACTAAGCACTCCTCCAGGCAGGAGCTGGCTTGACAGACCTCCAGACTCTGGCTCAGAGTGGGTGACTGGGGATGGAGGAGGAAAGGTCAGGGAGCTCCAGAAAGGAAAACCCCAGAAAGCACACAGTGGGGAGAAATTGTGGCGGAGACCACAGAAAAATGCCCAGTATGGGGGGACCGGCCTTTAAGCCAGGCTCAAGGAATCTGGCCAGTGGCCTCTGCAGTCCCCCTTCTTTATCCCTTGCTCACTTCCCAGCCTCAGGAGAGGAGAGGTGGGACTTGGGAACCGCTAACTGGGAGGCAGAGGTCCCAGAAGCCTAGTCCTGGAGGAAGGCTGTGAGGAGGGGCAGCTTTTGCACGGAGTTCAAGTGTTTGGACGTAAGAGGGTATGTATTTGTGTCCACACATGGATGTGGTTCTGTGTCCGGGTATAGGTGAGTGATACACAATGGGTGTGTGCAGGTGACTGTGGCAGCTGAGGCATGTGCAGTTCCCATGTGCAGAGGCAAGAAAGAGACTGAAAGAGAAAGAGCAGCACCTGAAGAAGGAGATCAGCCTCTCAGCAGGACGACTGCCAGGACTTGTCACTTCTTTTGGGGAGTGCTCCAGAGTAAAGAGGAGGTGGGGGACAGGCTCACCCCGCTGGTTCTCTACTTCCTCATCCTCCCAGCCCTATCCTGAGCCTTCCGAGAGCTCAGCTCGTGGGGACAGCCTGCTCTTGCACAGCTCTTGGGCTGTCATAGGTCCAGGGTTCCAGCCTTCAGCAGAGTAAATGACCTGAATTCCAGCACTGGTGTGTGGGTCCTTGTTCTCCTACTTCCTTCTTATCCTTATCAAGCAGGTGGGGAAGGTGTGAGGGAAGGTACGTTCACATTGAAGTACTTTTCCCCAGCTGCCAGCACCCCATACGTAGAAGGGGGAGTCACAAGGACCTAACCTGCCTCACCTACTTGTGAGTGCCTCTAGAGCCCTGGAGTTGAGAGGCCTGGGTTATCATGCTGGCTCCTGGGTGGACCCCTTCTCTGGACACTGGGGGATGCTTGCAGTTCCAGTTCAGCTCCCACCCAGTTGACTGCTTCTGTCCCTCAACAGCCTGCCTCCCTGGTCCCTCTCCCTCCTCCTCTGCGTTCTGCAAAGACTAAGACCAGGGCCTGCCAGAGAATTAAAGGTGGGAGGGGCAGGCCTAGATTCAGTGTGACTGTCTCATCCTGCTCCACTCTTCCCCCACTTGGCACCGTGAGCCCCAGGAAAGGCTGGCTTGCCCCCTGCTGTCTGCCACCCCCATTATTTTCCTAGTCTGGAACCCCCTTCCCCTCTTAGCCTTTTATCCCTCCGCCCTCTTCTCCTCTTCTCAGCAGCTCTCACTCTCCACCCTCTACTTCTCCTGCCCACCTTGCCCTCAGCCCAATCCCCGTATCTTTTTTTTTTTTTTTTAGATGGAGTCTCCCTCTGTCATCCAGGCTGGAGTGCAGTGGTGTGATCTCAGCTCACTGCAATCTCCTCCTTCCAGGTTTAAGCGATTTCCCTGCCTCGGCCTCCTGAGTAGCTGGAACTACAGACATGTTCCACCATGCCTGGCTAATTTTTCTAATTTTAGTAGAGACAGGGTTTCTGCTGTTGGCCAGGCTGGTCTTGAACTCCTGACCTCAAGTGATCCATCCATCTCAGGCTCCCAAACTGCTGGGATTACAGACTGAGCCACCATTCCTGGCTGAATCCTTATATCTTAATTTCCTTGGACAGTTTGAGACCAACAGAGAACCCAGGAAGTTGGTAGTGTTAGTGGGGCAGAGTTATCATGTCTTTACTCCCTCAGGGAATTTAACCCAAATCCTCCCCTATCTAGAAGGACAGGAAGTGAATTTTTCCCCCAAGGAGAAAGGAGAATGAACTGAGAGGCAATAGGGCCTCGCCTCCCATCCTTTGGGACAATGAAGATTTGTATAGAAACCTGAGTGCAAAAACAGAAGCAGGCCTCCAGCTTTACAAAATAAAGTGTTTGTTTATTATGAAATTAGAGATGGAGGCCCCTCCCCTTCCTCCCTCTTTCCCCTTCCCCAGCCGCCTCCCCCTTTCCTTCCCCTACTCCCTTAGGGGCCTGGGAAGCACACAAGACATTGCCCAGGGCTGGGATGCCCAGGGCAGGCTGACAGCTGGGCAGAGCTCCAGGGAGGCGGCCACACGGGAGGCTGGAGCTCTGGCCCTGGAAGGAGGGCTGGCTCCCTCTCTCAGCTGGAGGCCAGTGGAGCCAGGATGAGGCTGAGGCCATGAGTGATGGATGGAACCATGCGGGCAGGTCTGTAAGAACAGGGGAGCCAGGTTAGAGGCAGTGGGGAGTGGGGGCCTTTGTCCACTGCCTTGCCCCACAGTCTAGAGGCACTAACCTGGGGCACAGCATCCCCTGCAGGAGGGTGGGCAGCAGTGGCTGGAAGTTTCCTTTGATTTGGGGATGGACAACAGAAAAAAACCAAAAAGCCAGTCACAGGGACCCAGAGGGAAGGGAGATGTGGGCAGGAGACAGACACAGAGATGTGTGTGGGCAAGGGAGTCGCAGGGAGACTATGTGCGAGCTTCAGAACTGCAGAGACAAAACAGCCACGGAGGAAGGAAAGGAATCACAGTGAAAGAACACAGGGCCAGGGTTAGGGCCACGAAACCCAGGCCCGGACAGAGGAACTGTAGACAAAAATCCCTGGAGGGAGACGCACGGCCTGACTCAGCAGGAGGGAGGTGAGAGCAAGGGCACTCCGGGGAAGCAAGGAGGGACACAGGGACAGGGAGGAGGCCTGGGGCCCCTGGGCTGCTGCCGCCCGCCTGGACCCCGTGGGGCTCACTCAGAGGGCCTGTGCCGGCTGCCCCTGCATGGTGGGCCGGGCCAGCGCGGGCGCTCAGGGGGCCGGGGGCTCCTTGGCCCCATACAGCTCAGCCAGGGTGCGGAAGAGCGGACCCCAATCGTCCAGCGGCTCCGCGGGGCCGGGGACGCCACCCGCTTCACTGCCGGAGCCCAGGGAGCTGAGGGAGCCGCAGGAGGAGCCCCGGCCCTCGTAGCCGTACACCTGCACCGAGTCGTATGGGGGTACGCTGGGGTCCTCGTCCGCCTCGCGGAGCCGCAGCGCCAGGAGCTGCGCCACGTCGGCAGGGCCGGGGGGCCTGGGCTGGCGCGGCACCCGGGCCCGGGGCAGCACGTCTCGGCGCGCGGGAGGGCCGGGTGCCGGCGGGGCTGCCCCGTCTGGGTTCTGCAGGGCCATGATGTCGAAGGCCTCGGTGTCCTCCTCGCCGCCACCCTCATCGTCGTAGGTGATGATGTTCTCTCGGACGTCCTCCTCCTCCAGGACCATCAGTGCTTCCTGCTTCTGCCGCCGCAGGGCCACGAAGAGCACCACCAGGGCTGCGCGAGAGACGCGCACACGGGCCCTGAGCCCGCAGGGCTGGGAGCGGGCAGCCCGTCTCCATGTGAACAGCCGACCCATCAGGTGACAGAAGCCGTGTGCCTAGGGGCTGACATCTAGCACAGCTTGCCTTGAATTCTGACTTCAGCCCTTACTCGCCGTGTGACCACGGGAAGTTGCCTGACTTCTCCGAAGCCTCAATTTGCCCCTTAGATTACTTGTGTGGAAAATAGAGAAAATATATTTACCTCTAAGGGTTGCTGACACAATAAAATGAAATATCACGTGATGTGCCCAGCACCATACTTGGCACAGAGTAGGGGGCTCAATAAACCATTATTATGGCTTGTTGTTGTCATTATGGATTGGCAGGTCATGGATAGGGGCCAGAGCTTTTCTCTTGGATGCATCAGGTGGTGGGAACATCCAGGCCTGAGGGTCCTTCAAGCCCTAAGGTGGATTTCACTATGTCCAGAGGCCTGGTCCTTCTCCACACCCCTGCAGGCCCAGATCCCACATCTATGTCCCACTGTGGCCTGACTCACCAAGCAGGGCACCCACACAGGTGACGACGGCAAGCAGGGCGCCGGTGCTGAGCCCAGTGGCTGAGAGGTGAGTCTCAGGCCAGCAGGATGCCACAGAGCCATCAGGCTGGCAGCGGCACACGCTAACAGTCACTGTGGCAGTGCTGCTCAGTGCCGGCTGGCCCCAATCCCACAGTTCTATGGGAACCAAGTAGGGGGCCTGGCGGGGTGGAGCAGGGCGGGAGGGCAGTAGCAGGTTGGCAGAGCCATCTGTGGGAGAGGAAAGGTGTTGAGATATCTTCTGGGACACCTTCCAGGTAGGGTTGGTCCAGCCCAGAGAGCCAGCTTCCCATGGGGAAGGTTTACAAAGAGACAATGAGTGAGTGTAAATCCACATGCCCCCTTCTGTTGGGTTGAAGGCCCAGGCAGATGGGGCAGGGGTCAGGCAGGCTGGGCTAGGGATGGAGGAGGGGAGGAGGATGGAGGCAGGTATGGACATGGTTGTAGGAGGCCACCCACCTCGGTTGTCTCGGACAGTAAAGTTGGCATCTGGGCCCAGAGGACCTTGAAAGGAGACATGGCTACTGTTGCCAGCTTCATCTCTGTCCAGGGCCCGGATGACCTGAATCAGCTGGGAGGAAGAAGAGAGGCCTTGTATGGAGTGGGCTGCTGGAGGCCTTGACGTCCCAACCTTTCTGCCTCAGTTGCTCACCTGGCCAGGAGCTGCAGAGTCACACACAAAGGTATCGTAGGGCTCAGCCAGCTGGGGAGCATTGTCATTCTCATCCAGGGTCTGGATGGCCACTTGCACGCGCGAGGCCTGTGCAGAGCTGTCTGAAGCCAGAACACCAAAACATACACACCACACACACACACCACACAGTTTACACATAACATATGTGATACATGGGCATGGATGCCACATGCAGCATATAGCATACATATGAAATATATGAAATATGCATGTAATATACAGGTAGAAAGCAATGTTGTGGAATGAATGGAACAATGCCAAATGCATACAGTATTCATGTAGTACCCAAGATATGTGCAATACACAATAGACATTCAACAGGAATGCAGCACACGATAGACATATACAATAATCCACATTCAGGGCACATGCAGCATAAATACAGGATAGAAGGGGCATACAAGTTGCATGCAGACAACAGCCATGAATATATAAAACATATTCATACCACATATCCAATGTACACTCAACATTTAAAACAAATGCAATGTACATGAAGCAGATGTTTGATATGCGCAGTGAATGCAGTGCCACATCCCCCGACGCCCCGGCAACATCCAGAGCCCATAGAATGCATTTTCATGCATAGAGGCCATACACAGCATCAGTGGAGTGGACAGACAGACAGACAAACAGACACACACACATACACCCCATCAGAGGTCTGGGAGGCTGTGGTACAGCAATGAGCATCACTTAGAGTTGACCTTGGGTAGGAAGGAGCTGCATGAGCTACCGGGTGCAGAGCCCAGGCCAGCCTGGGCACCACAGCCAGACACAGGCCCCATCTTGACCCATCCCTTCATCAGGTGACTCCCTACCATTACCCTTCCTTGCTTCTCACTGCCAGTGCCATCCAAGAGAGAATGCAACGTGTGTCTACTTGTCACCTGTCTTAGGCTGAGTCTCCCAATTCCTTTAGTCTTTCCTCTAGGCAGAGGGATAGCTGGCTGGGCCTGGTGAAAGGGGCTGAGGTTGCAGCATGGGTGGGGCAGGCTGAGCGGATCGCCTGGCTAAAAGGATTGGGATACCCCAGAGACAGGGTGGGGAGGGTCTACTTCACTGTAGTAAGGGCCCAGAGCGCTGCTAGTTGGTCTGGGTCGGGGGTAGGAGCAGGATTTGGCAGGAGAATGAGAAGAGCGTGACAGGAAACACACACACACACACACACACACAAAGCTATGTATATACAAGCAGCTACAAACATACTGTGTGTATGCGCGCGCTCGGGCACACACACACACACACACACACACACACACACACACCCATCCACACAGACATCCATGCAATAATACACACACACTGCCAGATAGCATCTGTGCATAGCTATCTATGCACACAGTTCCATGTATAAAAACATAAACCTAGACACATAGCATTAAACACATCTGAGAGGCAATACGGTGGGGATAACAGCTCAGACTCTGCACACTGGCTGGGTCTCACGGCTCCATCACTTAATCTCTGTGTGACCTTGGGAAGTTACTTAACTTCTCTTTGCCTGAGTTTCCTTCTTTTAAAATGAGGAAATAATCATACTTTCCTCATAAAGTTGTGGTGATGATTAAATGAATGAATCCATTTTGAAGATGGATAGTGCCTGATACACAATAAGTAATTAATTATCTGTCCACAAATACCCACATACACAAAACACAGCTACTTGTGCAAACCACTATACATATCCAATCACATATATGCAGTTAACATAAATATAATTCTGTACACTCAACTGTAAACATATATATACATTGCAGATATATATCACAAATACATGTGTCTATCTATATACTTTCCCCACATTTGGAATTACACACATTCCTGAGCATATACTCACATGTTCATATTCGTATAGCTCTTCACTGACACATTCAGATATCCACATATACAAGGACAACTTTCATATGCAGTATGAAGACAAAGGGATGGAGGAGCCCCTGGAGCTTAAGCAGGGGTGATAAGGGACTATTCACAGAAGGCAGGTCTCCTTGTCTCTATGGGCTAGGGACGCCCAGAGGCAGCTGAACCTGCTGCTGGCGACTGGCGGGGTAGGAGAGAAGCCCACATGTGGAGGTGGCACTCTTCCCTTTCCTTACAGGTGTCTACTCCCCTACCTTGGGGGATTCCCACAGGGCTTCCAACAAGGCTTCTCTGGAGCGGGGCTGCTGGTACGTTCCACTTAGCAACCAGAGAAGGTACCCAGCCCCTTCTGGTCCCTAGCTCCAGCCTGAAGCAGGGGAGGATGGGATCTGCCAGGACACAGGTTGGGGGCCATGTAAGGTCTGGTTTATTTCTGGGTGGGGGCAAGTCAGGTAAGGGAATAAATTGAGGATCAGAATGCTCAGGCACATCCGCTGAGCCCAGTCTAAGGGACTAGGATACTAGGAGGCCTGCCCTGCGTGGTAGCAAGGATCCAGGCTAGGACTTGGATACGGGCTAGGACCCAGTGGTTGCACGCTGTCGAGGGTATGATGGCATTGAGCACCCTTCCCCACCCCCATGCTCAGGGACAGCCCCTCAGCCAGGAGGCTGCTGCCGTCTTGTGGGCCCTGGACTCCTCACCGAGCTCTGTAGCCAGCACAGTGAGGTTGTGCCAGACATGAGCCTCGCGGTCCAGGGGTGCTGCTGTGTGGATGGTGCCTTCTTCCGGCTGGATAGAGAAGCAACGCTCCGGATCCGAATGGGGGAGGATGGAGTATCTGGGGAAGGCAGAGGCATGCTGGAGCTGATCCAGGGTGGGACCACAGCTTGTTCCATCCCCTTCCTCCTTTCTTCCCTCTGTTCACCTTGCTAGACCTCATAGCTCCTCTGGGCAGAGCCATAATTCAGGTTAGAGTCCCCTTAAAAGGCAAATATCCCTAGTAGACCACCACCATTAAACACCTGTCCTAAGACTCAAGGCCACCAGGTTTCTTGGGGGGAGGGGGAGAAGATACAGAATGGAGTGGAAGCGGGATAAACAGACCTTGACTTCCAGATTTCTGGGCCCTTTCTGAGAACCAGGTACCTGTGTTTCAGCTCTGCTCTGCCTTAGACTGGCTCTGTGACTTAGGGCAAATAGTTTAACCTCAGTTTACTTAACTGACAAATGGGAATGACACTAGTACCTCACTCACAGTGCTGTGACAGGGATGCTGGCTGGGGAGGGGAAAAAAGTGGCTGTTCTGCCACTTACCAACTGTGTGACCATTTATGGTTGGCCTCTAAAACGACTGGTGATAAGAACACCTAGTTCATAGGGCTGTTGTGAGATTTATTTATTTATTTATTTAGACAGAGTCTCACTCTTGTCACCAGGCTGGAGTGCAGTGGTGCAATCTTGGCTTACTGCAACCCCCGCCTCCTGGGTTCAAGTGATTCTCCTGCCTCAGCCTCTCGAGTAGCTGAGACTACAGGTGTGCCACCATGCTCAGCTAATTTTTATATTTTTAGTAGAGATGGGGTTTCGCCATGTTGGCCAGGATGGTCTTGATCTCATGACCTTATGATCCACCCTCCTTGGCCACCGAAAGTGCTGGAATTACAGGTGTGAGCCACCGTGCCTGGCCTGTTGTGAGAATTAAATATCAGCAAGGGGGTAAGCTGTGAACACTTTGGGAGTGATCAATAGAGGTCTACTTGTCAGCTGAGATTACATCTGCTTGCACTGCCACTGGGAGGTGCCACCATCATCTACCCAGAGGGATCGATAGAGGGTTGAGGAGTGGTCAGCCAGGCCCTCCAGCTCTCCCCTGGCACCCACCAAGCCTGTAGACCAGCACCCACCAGCAGCAGGGAGGGAGGCTTTTGCTGGGAGATGAGTGATTTGCTATAAGGTAGGGGGCACATTTACTCATTCTCTGGGATGGGAATAACCTGCCATCTGGCTCCCCGGCCCACACCCCAGCTAACTTACCTGATTGGGCTGGCAGGGGAGTCCAGGTCAGCCGCGGAGATCTGGCCTACCAGGGTCCCCGGGGCCTTGTTCTCGGGCACTGTCAGGTGATAGGCAGCCTGGGTGAAGGCAGGTGGCTCTGGGGCATCTTGTACCACCACACGCACAGAGGCCACATCCTTGAAGGGTCCTCGCCGCAGATAGGCTGGGTCAATGAGCGTGTTGGTGGCCTCAACACGGAAGGAGTAGGAGCGCCGGCTCTCGAAGTCTAGGGGCTACGGTGATGCGAGAGAGAGAAAAAGCGAGGCATGTGGAAACCAGGGCAGGCCCCAGGCTCTTGGAAGGTGACAAGTCCCCTCCTCACATGCGTGCAGTTGAGTGCTCAGTCCTCATGTGAGGAGAGGTGGCACTGGAGGGACAGTGGCCTCAGTGGTCAGGGTGCACAGCAGATTGCTTAGTAAGTCTAGGTCTGCTCCTAGCTTCATCATAGACTTGTTATATGACCTTGAGCCAGTCACTTCTTTCTAAGCCCTAGGGCCTGATCTGAAAGATGAGGAAGTGACGAGGACCTCTAAGCTCCAACAGAGGGATCCTGAGTCTGTTCTGGAAGAACAGTTAGAAATGTGGTCTGTGGGCGGGCAGGAGGCAGGGCTAAGAGAAAGCGTGAACAGGCGAACCTTGCGGACAGTGAGGAGCCCATCTTGACCCTGGGAGTCTGTGCTGATGCTGAAGGCCTCAGACCCCTCCCCATCCAGGATGCTGTATGCCATGAGGGCGTTGTCCCCCAGGTCTGGGTCCTGGGCCCGGAGCCGACCCACCAGCGTGCCAGGTCCAGCTGTCTCCACGACGGAGAACTGGTATAGGCCTTGGGGTGGATGGAGGGAGACACCTTTTTAGAGAGGTCCTCAGCCCTCCTCCCTACCCCCAGCACTTTCTTCTCCATTCTCCAGATGCTGTAGGGGTGGAGTGGTCAAAGGATGGCTCAGGTGGCAGCAGCTGGCCTCTTACTCTGTGGGAACTTGGGGGGGTTGTCGTTGACATCGCTGAGTGTGACAGTCACCGTAGTGCTGCCTGACAGCCCCCCCATGTGGCCGCCCATGTCCTTGGCCTGGATCACCACCAAGAACTCCTCCTGTGTCTCCCGGTCCATGTTGGGGATGGCTGTGCGCACTACTCCTAGGGAGAGATGCTGGGTCAGAAGGTGTCTGTTCCCTTGGCTGCCCCACCAGACTCCCAAGCTCCATCCTCACCAGTCTGGGGGTCCACAGAGAAGAAAGGCAGTCCATCCAGAACAGTGTACACAAGCTTGGCACTGTTCCCATAGCTGGGGTCATCGGCATCGTGAGCAGTCACCTGGATCACTGATGTCCCTGTAGGGGATGCCAGCACCCCATTCAGCAGCGACAGGGCAGGATGGGGAAGAATAGCAGGTGGAGGGGAGGAGGCAGATATGAGGGAGGCTGAATTGAAAGGGACAGGTTCTGGGACAGACAGGAAGGGAAGGGGAGGTGAGAGAGCTCCAGAAGACGGAAACTGGGACATTCAGAGCTGGGGTGCTCACCGACGTTGGACATCTCGGGCACGGTGGCATGGTAGGGCCCAAGGGGAAAAATGGGTGGATTGTCATTGATGTCTTGCACTTTGATGATGAACTCTGAAGGGGGCTCCAGGGGCCGGTTGGAGGCTCGGTCCACGGCTTGGGCCAGTAGCACATATTGTGCTTTCTCCTCCCGGTCAAGGCTCTTGGTTACATGAATATTGCCTGTGGCCTCGTCAATCACAAATACGGTGCCTGCCCCCTCCCCAGTCAACAGGTACTTGGTGCGGCCCTCTCCCCGGTCAACATCCGAGTGCAGCTGCAAGGGTCAGGAGAAGATGGCAGAGGGCTCCAAGTACAGAGAGGGTTAAAGAGTCTAGGTTTGGGTACAGCGTTGGGAGTCCCGAGGGACCAAGGTCATTGCAGAAGTGATGAAGTTGAGGGAAGGGCCTAAGGGCCTTGTGTCAGAGTAGACATGGGAGGGGTTATCCTTACCTTGCCAATGAGGACAGGCTCTGGACCAGCATATTCCTCAATGACAAAGAACTGGTTCCAGACCCAGCTCCTTCGAGTCCGCAGCAGAGCAGGCCCTGGGTGTCCCCGGGACCCTGCCCAGGCCTGGGCTGGGGCTGCCAGATGCCCCATGCAGCCCCAGCCACCCAGCCAGGCCAGCAGGAGTCTCACCAGGCCCCACATGTTTAGACTCCAGCCAGGGCTCTGTTCACTGGCCCTTGGTGAGGCTGGGCCAGGCCACGTGGCCCATGAGCTGGCGGGGGTGGAGGGGCAGATGCGTTGAGGCTACCCCATGGATCCACACCTGCAGGACAAGCAGCTGCTCAGGGTCAAGGCAATCCCTAGCCCTCCTCCCCCCAAATTTAGATGCTGAAGATCAGACCTCCAAAGAGCCAGACACTCCACTGCCCAAAACTCAGACTAAGAGAGTAGAGAGGCTGATCCTTCCTCCACCCAGGCTCTGCCTGTATTCACCTCCAGCCCTCCAAGCTGATAAATCTCTGGTCAGTCAACTCTGAGTAGGGAACTGGGGAGGAACACAAGAGAGGGGATACTGGGAGGGCTTGGAATCCCAAATCTGGTCCCTGTCCTCCCAGGTTGGGCATATAGCCAGGTACTGGAAGAGGTGGGGTTACCAGAGAAAGGGCTTAAAATGAAGGGTTTGGGATTCACGGAGGTGTGACCTTAACGTGTCTAGGGTCAGGATGAGATGACAAGGAGTGCAGCCTCAGGCAGGGTTGAGAGCCTGTGAAAGTCTCTCTCCCCAAGGGGGAGCCCCACCTCTCCAGGCCCTTCCTCCAGCCCACACTGCCAGCTGCAGTCCTTGAAGGGGAACTGGGCTCATGAGATGGGAGTTGGGAGCCAGAGCTGAAGAGGCTACAGGGTGGGGCACAGGGTGAGGTGACCGGGGAGGGAGGCTGACCCAGAGGCCAGAGACACAGCGAGACTGAGGGCTAGACTAACTCAGGGACTGACTGTCCGGCAGAGACAGAAATGACTGGATGAGAGACGAGACAGAGACAGAACAGTGGCGAGAGACAGAATGAGAGAGACCAGGGCAGTAGCCTGGGTGTCTGAAGGCAGAGAGGAGTCCCAGGGGCCAGGCTTGGAAAAGGATCACCCAGGGCAGTTCCGGTCAGGCAGGGCCAGTCCTCAGCTTCGGGGGTGTCAGGTCAGGTCTGGGGAACTTAATTCTGGAAGAAGGAGCAGGCAGGAGGGGTGGAGGCAGGGAGGGGCCGTCGGAAGGGACCCAGAGAGGGGACCCTTCCCACTGCTCTCCTTTCTCCTCCGGGGGGTCGGGGGAACCCCTCAGGTAGCTGTGGCTTCTGCCCCTCCTCCCTCAGAGCAGACACATACCTGACAGTCCCTTTGCTCCCGAGGGAAGGGAGCAGCTGGAAGAAAGCTGGGGACCAGAGAGAAGGCGGGATGAGGCGGCGAGAAGGAAGGGGATAGAGGAGTGGGAAACAGGATAGCGGGAAGGGAAGAGGAGAGGAGATGGATGGAAAGGAGGAGGGAAAGCAGAACAAGAAAGAGGAAAAAGAAAGGAACCGGAGAAAGGTAGAGAAAGAAAAAGGCAAAGAGGGAGAGGAGATGGAAAAAGACAGGACAAGAGGGAGAAGGAAGGGTTGGGAGCCAGGGAAGGGATAAGGAAGGCAAACAGGCAGAGACGGAAGGATGAAGAGAAATCGAGAGAGGAAAGAGGGAGAGAAGTGCCAGGGGAGAAGAGAAAGAGGCAGAGCGCGGGAGAAGGGAGCCGGCAGCGGGCTTCCAGCCACCAAGCGCAGTGCTCCGAAGACCCCCGCAGGCTGCGGGCCCCCTGCTGCCCCTCCGCGGATTCCCGACCCTGGCAGGCGCCCTTACCTGGCACTGCCAAGGGGCCCAGTCTGGCGGGGGGCGCCCCCGCTCGACCCCGTCGCCCGGTTCCGGGGGCGCAGCCCCGAGCAGATCGGAGCGGGCGCCGCGGCTCCGCTGCAGGTCTGAGCGGCCCCGGCGAGAACAAGGGAGCGAGACAGAGGGGGCGGGGGAAGGAGGCTCCGCCTGCGGAGGAGCGAGGCGGCTCCGCACCGCGCGGGAGAGGAGAGCCCAGCCTCCGACCCTCCCCGGCCAGCCGGCCCGCGCGGCGGGGGCGGGAGCGGGGGCGGAGGCGGCGCTCCCGGGCTGCGGGGCGCATACAGATGCGGCGCCCCTCCCGGGTCGGGCCCGCAGCGCCCGGCAGGGCACCCAGGCGGGAGGACGTCCAGGCCACGGCGCAAGGCCATTTCTGAGGAGCTGGCGTGGCGGGTGCACTCGAGAGCGCGAGGCGGCCAGCCCGCTCCCCGCAGCGGACGAGGGACCAGCGCGCGGTGGTGAGGTGGGGAATTGAGCCCACTGCGGAGAGACCGGTCTCCGGGCTCCCGCTGGCTTTTGGGACTGGTGCGGAATCCCGGCTGCAAGGCAGCGTCGTTTAGGGAGCCCGTGCAGAGCACGGTAGCGGGTCAGCTGGGGGACACTTAAGGACGGCAGAAGGGTCCAGAGTACGCGGCCCGGGCCCAGAAGCACGACATCGGCATGAGGGCGGAGGTGTGGAGGGGAGCCGTTTTTGGGAAGCTCGGTTACAGGCCAACAGAGTGAGGAGCTGCCGCCCCCTTGTGGCAGTTGTTGGAAGCACCAAGGTGGGCAGGCAGGTGACCAAATCCCCAATTCTAACCGTGCACAGGTCTAGGAACCAGAAGAGGACCCACCCTCCTAGCCCTGCTGGGCTGCCGCCACGGACACAGACTGCTCCACTTCCCAGTGGGGCCTTCCCGAATGAGGAAGGTCCACAGCTTTGAGCTCATGAGGGCCGAGGCAGGGATGAAAGACGGTGGGAAGTCCCTGCTTCAGAAAGCAGTAAAGCCTAAAGGAATAGACGGAAAGCACACAACTCCTACTCCATGCTACAGAGATCCTCTTCAGTGTGGTTTCTTAACCTGCCCAACGAAAGCCACTCGCACGGTTTAAAACTAAGTCAGATTTTTATTTGTTTTCATAGACCACATCATTTAATAATAAAAAAAATAAAAATAAAAATTGAACAAAAGGAAAAGGTGGATATAAAGTGGAACCTGTGGGAGAGGCAAGGGCTGCAGGACCAAAGAGACTGGGAACTGCAGGGGCCCTGGGACTCAGGAGGAGATGCTGATTCAGCTCATAGGTGACCCAGTCCTGGCCCCGGCTGTTCCCAAGAGAAGGCTGTACCCAGGGAGGCAGTAAGCAGGATGGAGGAAAAATCAAAGGACTAGGGCACCTGGCTGTTTCCCATCTCTGGCCAACCACCACCTAGCCTAACCTAGCTCCTGCCTCTCAGACTTAATGGGAAATGAGAGGGAGGGGCGGGCCAAGTCCCAAGAGATAGGTTAAGGTGGTGTGTTTGGGGGTGGGGGAAGGATGGCCACTGTTCCATTTGGTATGTGTGCAAGGACAGGTGGTGTTAAAGACTCTTGGCTCCAGGGTGGTGGAGACTGTACCTATCCATCTGTGACCATAACCCCCTGGGGCCAAGTGGCTGGTACCTGCAGCTCTAGTGTTTTCCCAGCTAGCGGCGCCCACCCCGGTCCCGCACAGGTGTGCTCCGACTCCGGCTTCTGCTGTGTCGCTTGGTGTCCCTGCGATCCCTTTCCCTGCCTCGTTCTCGGTCCCTTTCCCTATCCCGATCTCGGTCCCCCCTGTCCCGCTCCCTTTCTCTCTCTCTCTCCCGGTCCCTCTCCCGGCTGTGCTCTCGACGTTTCTCTCGCTCCAGCTGTCGGTTCCGTTCCCGCTCGGCTTCCTTCTCCCGCTCCTTTTGCTCTTCTTCTTCTTGTTCCTTTCGCCGCTTCTCCCGCTCCTTGGCTCGTTCAGCCCGCTCTGCCTCCTTCTGAACTATCTGTAGCCAGGTAGGAAAGGCAGAGAGTAGGCATCTCAGTCCTGGTCACGGCCTCCATTTGTGCCTGGACCCCGCCTCCTAGCTCAGGGTCAGCTTTTCAGTTAAGCAGCAAAGGGTCGGAGGCTCAGCAACTGCATCTGTCTGTCTTGAAGCACGTCTCCCCCTCCAGTTTCAGCCTTTTTTTTTCTTTCCAATGAGACAGTCTCATTCTGTCACCCAGACTGGAGTGCATTGGTGCTTGCTATCTCGGCTCACTATAGCCTCTGCCTCCCAGGTTAAAATGATTCTCCTGCCTCACCCTCCATAGTAGCTGGGATTACATGTGTCTGCCACGATGTCCCACTAATTTTTGTATTTTTAGCAGAGACGGGGTTTTAGCATGTTGGTCAGGCTGGTCTCGAACTCCTGACCTCAGGTAATCCACCACGCCTGGCCACCAAATTTCAAATTTTACACCCGACAGGTACTGGGGCACCATCCTTACCATCAGTATACATGTGAACAAATCTTTTTTTAGTAGCATAAGCCTAAAATTCCCAAAGGCCCATTACTAAGTAAATTAAAAAGGCAAAAACTCTTAAAGTTAAAAGGCAGAGAAATAAGTTTATAAAACACAATTTCTCAGCTAACTAAAATCAATTTTTTTTTTTTTTTTTTTTTTTTTTTTTTTTTTTTTTTTGAGACAGAGTTTTGCTCTTGTTGCCCATGCTGGAATGCAATGGTGGAATCTCAGCTCACTGCAACCTCTGCCTTCCAGGTTCAAGCGATTCTCCTCCTTACCCTCCCAAGTAGCTAGGATTACAGGCACCTGCCACCACACCTGGCTAATTTTTGTATTTTTAGTAGAGATGGGGTTTTACCATGTTGGCCAAGCTGGTCTCGAACTCCTGACCTAAGGTGATCTGTCCGCCTCAGCCTCCCAAAGTGCTGGGATTACAGGTGTGAGCCACCACGCACAGCCTAAAATCAACTAAGAAGCTTGGTTGGCACAGCCGGCTTCCCAAACATGCACAAACCTCAGTTGCTGTCTGTGCGTCCATCTTCGCCTTCCTGGGTCTGGTTTCTCTATGGCACACCGATCAACTGAAAGCTGCCTTTCAGTGATGCCTAGTTTTTTCCCCCTTGAGCCTAAATCTAGTAAGTACCTGGGATGACTCACTTTCGAAGTCACATGAATATTCCTTCACCCTGACCTCAAGCCTCGGTGCCACTCTGAGCAGGGCACAAAAAAGAGCACTCACCTGGCTGTCAGTCAGTGGGAGCCAATAGATACAGGGAGCTGCCTTGGTCTTTCGGAAAAGGTCGTCCAGCAGCTTGGCAGGTGGTTCCTCCTGGGCTTTCTCTGAGGTGGAAGACAGTGAACAAGATTTGACCCATCTGACCCTCCGTCCCGTCCCATCCCATCTGGGTCTCTTCCCCACCTACTAGTGGGTATGTGTACTCCATAGCTAAGTACCCACCTTTCTTCTCACTCTTCTTTTCTTTAGACTTCGCACGTTCCTTGCGGCGGCGGTCACGGGACCTTGATCGCGAACGGGGCTCTTCTCGAACTTTGTCCCGATCCCATTCGCGCTCTGATCGAGTCCGCTCCCGCCGCTCCATTTCCCGTTCTCGCTCTGCCCACTGTTCCCGCACTGCCCGCTCCTGCTCCCGCTGCTCTGCCCTGGGGTGCTGTGGTGGCTGGACCGGGGGTGGGGGTGGCGGGTGCAGGGGCCGTGGTATCCCCTGATCCTCTGTCTTAGTTTCAGAGGGACGGTCCACCAAGAGGCCTCGGTGATAATCCAGCTGCGGGGAGAGGAGGGACGAGGACAGTCGGGATAGAGATGATATCATCACTCCCACTGAAGGAGCCCAGGCACCAGAGGTACAGACACTTTGAAGCCCCATGGTATAATTAAAAGAACCAAAGCCAGGGAGGAAGAGGAAAGAACAGAATCAGACGGCAGGTCCGGCAAGGATCTCAGCTGAAATCTAGCAGATAATGGCTTCCCTGCCCCTTCCTCCCCTCCTTCCTTTCCCTAGGTTTCTTACCTCATCTTGCTCGGCATAGTCGGCACAAAGGAATTTGGGATTGGACTGGGGCCATTTGACCCCATGCAGAGCTGTTCGGGTGGCAACAGCTTCCTCTACTGTTGAGTACTGGTGAAGGAAGGTAGAAGGCGGAGGGTCACAGTGTGTCTGCAACCCTCTTCACTTGCTGCAACACCCTTAAACCTGCCCACGTTGGTCACAAAAGGAAATATATGCCATGACTTATAGAATCAGCATCTTCCCCTCACCGTTACAAAGCAATGAGATTTGATTTTGTCAATCCAGAAGGCCTCTTCCACCAAGGTTCCTGTGCGCCCCAACAACTCCTTTAGCTGGCCTAAAGTGAAAGGACGGACCTACCAAAGAAAATAAGACTTTCAGGGTCTTGAAAAAGGCAAGACCACCACCCATATAGCCAGTCTTCAGATTTCCTGAGCTACTGTCACAGGAGTGTAGTTTCAAGGTCTAGATGAGGGCAGAGAGTTTAGGAAGCTGCAGTATTATGTGAGAAGAGTGGTGGCACTGATTTTGACATTGTATATTAGACCCTCTGCAAGCTCAAAACAACCCTACAGGGCGACAGCTTTTCCCCCCCTCATTTTTAGATGAGTAAATAGGTTAAGTAACTCACTCAAGATCAGTGAGTAACTTAATCTATTGGTAGACCAGTTCAACTATGAGTGGAACCTAGGAAGCATAAGCTCAAAGCTCAAACTTAACCACTAAGCAAGGTGGGATGTAAGAAACAATGACTTACCAAATTGGAGATATGGACAATGTTGCTAATCTTGCCCCGGGGTGGGGAGGGCACCTGGGCAGTTCGGACTGGGTCATCAATGGTAATGGAAACTCCAGACTTCTGCTGGCTAATGGAACGTCGAGTTAAGGTATCTCCTAAAGTCACTATCAAGGAGACCACAAGAACAGCTTTTGGTAGGAAGCAATACTGGCTCTTTCACCTTCAGTATGATTCTCAGGGTTCCCTTTCTTTTATACTAAGCAGCCAGTCCTTCAATCTGCAAAGTACTGTGCTAGGCTGACCTCATCATGGAGATTCAAAGATTAAACAGTCAAATCTGGCCTTCAAGTAGCTTATTTAGTATGTAGAAGGAAGAGATGCTATTAAAAAAATATTTAATAAAAAGTTGGGAACACTAAATGCTTTAAGCGATCCAAATGAGGTGCTCTGAGATTTCAGGAGCTTCATTACATTTCTCTCACAATGTGTCACTCACCTTTCTTTACTTCATGCTCTGCAGGTGGGGGCAAGGCCACCTCTACTGACACCTGGGGAGGTACAGGAGGTTCTGCTTCAGGTTCCTTTTCTTCTTCTTCTTCTTCCCTCTGCCCATTCTCCTGGCCCTCTGCAGGTACTACCTATCAAGGTGTCAGAGAACAGAGCAAGTCTGTCAACACCACACTGGCATTTCAGCCTCTGGTTCCCTGGTTAGAGTAGTAGAGTCAACCTAGCACGTTCCTTCCACTAGCAGTATTTCATTATCCAGCTCACCTCTACCAGATCCTGGGGCTGTTAGTGCCTCAGTTGGTAAATTTTTTCTGTAGAGCAAAGTAGTACTTCTGGTTTTGCAGGTCACACGGTCTGCTACAACTACTCATCTCTGGTGATGTAGCAAACAAATAGCCACAGACAAAAGTGAATCAACTGGTGTGGCTGTGTCCCCATAAAACTTTATTTACAACAGGTAGCTAGCTGGATTTAGTAGTCTGACCCCTGAAAGTGTCAATCAACCCAACCCTCTGCACAGATAGGAAAGTTCCCTCCGAAGACTTTATCTCAGCTCCTCAGCTGGCTGCTCTGCATCTGTTAGCCCCTCCTTCCCCAACACTGGGGTGCAGAAGCCTTACCTGAGTGACTGTCCGGCATATTTTCAGCCCCTTGTCATGGGTCCCATCATCACCATTACGCTCTGTCTCATCCTCAGAGATGCGAGAGTCATCAGCATGAAGATCCACAACAGCCTCCTGCCCCGCCAGGGGTTTGATGTCGGGGATGAGGCTCTGGGACACAGATACCCCCCACCCCGTTATACTGGGCCCACGTCTACTCCCACCTTAACAGGTCTCATCCTCCCTTCCCTGGCTCCTCCCACCTCACCTTGAGTGATTCAGTGGTGATACTGATGGAAGGTTTCTTCTGCGTGGTGGCTGTGCTGGCTCCCCAACGTCGTTTCCGACCAGGCTGGCCCCCCTCTGTGTCACTGTTTCCAGCTGGCACCCCCTTGGTAGCTGCTGTCCCCAAGAAATAGACCCAACAGTTAGATGATCTCAAGACATCTGCTGGTTCAAACCATAATACCTACAGTTTACCTCTGGCTGGAGTTTTGGTAAAAGCTTAACTTAAATCATATTTGGAGGCCAGGCGCAGTGGCTCATGCCTGTAATCCTAGCACTTTCAGAGGCTGAGGCAGACAGATCATGAGGTCAGGAGCTAGAGATCAGCCTAACCAACATGGTAAAACCCCATCTCTACTAAAAATACAAAAATTAGCTGGGCTTGCTGGCACACCCCCTGTAATCCAAGATACTCAGGAGGCTGAGGCAGGAGAATCACCTAAACCCAGGAGGTAGAGGTTGCAGTGAGCCCAGATTGTGCCACTGCACTCCAGCCTGGGCAACAGAGTGAGACTCTGTCTCAAAAAAAAAAAAAAAAAAAAAAATCACATTTGGGAATTGGGGAAACCATGGCTTCAGACTTAACACTAAAAGGGCTGGGGTGCCTTCCTGATAGAAACTACTGATCTGCCGGGCGCGGTGGCTCAAGCCTGTAATCCCAGCACTTTGGGAGGCCGAGGCGGGTGGATCACGAGGTCAAGAGATCGAGACCATCCCGGTCAACATAGTGAAACCCCGTCTCTACTAAAAATACAAAAAATTAGCTGGGCATGGTGGCACGTGCCTGTAATCCCAGCTACTCAGGAGGCTGAGGCAGGAGAATTGCCTGAACCCAGGAGGCGGAGGTTGCGATGAGCCGAGATCGCGCCATTGCACTCCAGCCTGGGTAACAAGAGCAAAACTCTGTCTCAAAAAAAAAAAAAAAAAAAAAAAAAAAAGAAACTACTGATCTAAAAGCAGTAAGGGAGGGTCAGCTAGTTTGATGAGAAGTTTAGACTTTTAATGGTAGACACTAGTATCTTAAGTAGTGGGGAAGACAAACTGAGGATATGTAAATGCATAAGAAACAAGAACACTATGCGATATTAACATCTAAGATCACGATGAGATCTGGTCTTTAATTTTCACACTACAGATTTACATTTAAGTTATAAACATCTATTACTCGTTTGTAATATAGAATTCCTCATTAGGGAAAATGTTAAAATTGTCATTGTTTGCGGCGTGGAGCACTTTCATTTCCTCAGGTGCTCTCTTAGAATAATGCATAAACTGCTATCGGGTGTGGTGGCTCATGCCTGTAATCCCAGCACTTTGGGAGACTGAGGAGAGTGGAGGTGTCAGGAGTTTGAGACCAGCGTGGCTAACATGGTGAAACCCTGCATCTAATACAGATACAAAAAATTAGCTGGGCATGGTGGTAGACCCCTGTAATCCTAGCTACTTGGGAGGCTGAGGCAGGAGAATTGCTTGAACCCAGGAGATGGAGGTTGCAGTGAGCCAAGATTGCATCACTGCAGTCTGGCCTGAGTGACAGGGCGAGACTCCGTCAATTTAAAAAAAAAAAAAAAAGCATAAACTGCTAAGCAGTATACAGGAGTCTCTGAAACTCACTCCTTGTTGAGTATTCAGATTTCTGAAAGAATAAACACCACTAAGGCTAAATGGGACATGGTCTGAGACACCTCACAGTGTATCTCATTAAAATGTTGACTAGGGAAATACAATGGAGACTGTCTAAAGTTTTGAATTTCAAAATGCAACCCTACAAAGAAAAGGATTCAGATTTGCTAGGCACAATGGGTGGGGCAAGAGGGAGTGGTCTATGAATACCACTGAGAATGAAAATCTGGTTCTCAATGAATGTTGACTCTTACGGTATTCCCGACTTTTTATCAGCGATTTGGGGCTAAACTTACAGACAACGGAGATCTTCCTCTTGAATGATTTGGGCAGCGAGCTCTGTATAAAGAAGAGAAGGGGGAAAAAAAGAGAAAGAGAGACACCCCACAGAGAGGGGGGAAGGAGGTTAGATGGGGCAGTCTTAGCATAGCCTCCAAAGACACAGAGAGAGAGAGAGAGAGAGAGAGAGAGAGAGAGAGAGAGAGAGAGAGAGAGAGAGACACAGAGACAGACAAGAGACCAAAACAGAAGCGGCAAACGGCAAAAACGAAGTAGAATCAATGCAAGTTAGAGAAAAAAATAAAACTAAACATCAGAGCAGGGAAAAGTCATCTATTCCGTATCACACCTGTGTATTAGCTTAACCAGAAATAAGCTGGAAGAGGAATTCAGCAGTCTCTCAGACCCTTAAAGATGTTGGTCATGCCCTCTCTTTCACTGTTTGAGTAGAGAGGACACCAAGCCAAACAAACTGTGCCCCAAACAGGGCATTTAGCTCTCCCAGGTCCTTCCTTGCTAACTTGAGGAAACAAGGAAAACCAACTTTGGATGGCAACTTCAACAAGGTAACCTTCCTTTCTTCAATGGCCAGACAATGGCTTTGAGATGCTTGGACAGCAGACTGTCATGTCAAGACTGCCCAGACCCCATCACACCATGGAAAAGGGCAGCACCAGACCCACTGGAGATGAGGATCTTAAGCCAAATGCTAGCAGAAAGAACTTAAAGGTGTCTTTAGTAAAGGAAGGTTTTAATAAAGGGCAGACTGTGGCCAAGGAGATTCTTAGGCTTTCCAGCCACTGCAGGGAGCTCCAGCAGAGTGTTACTGTTTCCTCTCCAACCAGGGCTCAAGCCTTAGGGCTCTGCCAAGGACGAGAAGACATCTCTGGGACAAGTTTCTGCCCCACTCAGTGGGTGAAAGATGAAAGACTATGGAGGTGGGTAAAAAAAAAAAAGCAAGAGAAAAAGGGAACAGAGTATTTTTCAATGTAGGTGCTTATTTCTGGAAAAACTAAGACTACTCTACCACTCTTCTAAAGGGTAGGGCAGAAACCTTGTGATGAAATCCTTTCCCCCATCCACCCCCACCCCCAGCCCCGTTTGTGTCATCTAACCAAGTCTCCTCGGTCTCTTTAAGGACCAGCCTGACCCCTAGCCAGGCCACTCTGGATGGGTAAGTTAGTGAGAGGAAAAAGAAAAAAAAAAAAAAAAAAAAAAAAAAAAAAAAAAAAAAGTCTTAAAACAGGAAAAACATGAACCAAATAAATAAATAAATAAATAAATAAAAGAAATCAGAAAAAATAAAGATATAGAAAAATTAAAATAAGAGATTAAAAAAAGAGGAAGAAAATAAAGAAGAAAATAAACTAGGAATATGACAAATGTTCCAGGTACCATCTCACACCTGGGATCTTCAGTTCAGCCAATCGCACCTCACTGTGTACTGTATCTAGTCAACCGCCGGTCCAATCAGAATGAGCCCTCCCTGCTAGGCGCTGTGCAATTGGTGGGGGGTTGGGTTGGCAAAAAAGGTGGGCGCACGGCGTGGTAGTCAGCACGGCACTGCCAGAGTCCTCCCAGGGGCGCAGGGGGGGCGGGAGGGAAACGTGTGGGGGGACGCTGCCCAGTTTCCATGATGTCAAGACAGTTCACTGGCGGTGGCCAGGCTCAGCGAGGGATAGAGGGGGGAAAGGGGCAGAGACATCAGTCCGGGCCCTGTAGGGACATCATCTTGCAGTCCCTGATGAGATGGCCTGTGAGTAGCCGGAATGATCCTTGCCTTTTATCGTGAGAGGCAGGCAGGACCCTATGTCCACCAGTAGCAAGCTGCAGCCATAACACCACCCAATACTTGGAATCCAGGTGATGACTCCAGAGTCCCTTTCTCCTCTGCCTGTAACTGGGGAGGGGGTCCTCTCACCGAGTGGGATCATGGAGCCTCTGATGAAGGTAGCCTGGGGGTAGTAGGTGAATATCCCCAGGACCTGGCGCACATTCAGCAGCAAGGTCAGAATACTTTTCTTCGGAGAGTTGTGGGTGGCATCTCCTCAGGGACTCCAGCTGAGACAGTGGTTCCAGTCAGGTGGATGAAATGAGTCCCTGCCTCCAGGGATGGAGGAGAAGTTGGAGCAACCAACATGCTGCCCTTCACCATGGACAACAGGGACCAAAGGAAAGTCCATCTGATGTGGTGATACATGGGCTGGGCTGTCATCAGCATTAAATCCCCGGGGCTCAGACCCTAGACTCCTCTGCACGGTTCCTAGTCGTCACAGCTTAAGTAGAGGGTCCCATTCAGTGTTTTACGGCATGGCACTGCGATCGCAAACTTTAGGAGGTCTTGGTGCCCTAGATGGGGATCCCAACAGTCTGTAGCAAACAAGGCAACCCACAGTCCTCAAAAGGGCAAGGGCATGTGGGCAAGCGCCCCAGCACTGGCACAAGCTCTTCTTGGGGTGTCCCAAGTAGGGAGATGATGCAAGTCCACCCCTTTCCAAATGTTTTTGCTTGCTCAATACAAGTCTCTCCAGAACAGTTCTTCTTGGCCCCCTGATGTAAGCAAGACAGGGAGGCAAAAGGGGGCCCATCACAGAAGCCCATATACATGCCCCCCTCTGGCCAAGACACCTGGATAGCAGACTTGGCTCTGATTGGGCAGCTCAGTAGCAGCGGGTGGGTCCAGAGGAAGAGGCGGCATCAGCGATTGGCCAGGTGGGCAGGGTTTTATTTTACGGGCGGATTACCGTACATGAGGTACTTGGACAAAGTTTTACGGGGAAGAAGGACCTTGTAATAAATAATATTCTGCACATCAAATCACTTTCACCGGCCCCCACCCCCGCAACACACACCAGAAAAAGGCTACACACACAACAGTCCCTCCCACCCTGTTAGCCCACTCCTAAACCCAGCTAATTCTTTCTCAATTACTTTAAGAGCCAAGAAGACTTCGCTGCCTCTGATGGGGGAAGCCCCCTGAACTGGGTGCAGGACACAAGATAACAATATGCCAAAAAGGAGGTAGAGGGATCAGGTCACAGACAACTGAGAAGGGGCCTTCTGGATCACAAGCGCTGGCTTCTAAGTAGCTACATCTCTGCAATGAGACCACTAGGGGGCAGAGGAGGAACAAAAACGTCTCAGCATGGCTGGTCTGGTGAGAACCACGAATGTCCACTAGATGGCGTTGGGCTCCCTCAGGCTTTTAAAAAGGAGGGAAAGCTAAAGGAGTTACCACCAGGAAAAGCTTGGGAAGACAGCAGGAAAAGCTGAACATGAATCTTCAGGGGCAATTATCAGACTTTCCAGTTAGTTACAAACATCCAGAGTCTGGGCACTACTTCCCCAACAAAGAAAGGAGAATAATTGAGCCCTGTCCCCATCACAAGGGGTATCCCTTGCTAACCAGCGAATTCTCTCTTGGCCCTACCCTGATTCATGTCCCTGCCCTCATCCCTCCTTTAAGTTAACCCACTGTGTAAGAGGGATCACTAGAGTGGTCTACTCTTTCCCCTAGGTCCATTCCTGCCCACCCACCCCAACAGGTGGCTTGGATGTTTACCTCTTTCTTCTCCTCATCTTCAGCACTGCCCTCTGGGCGATCATCATTGCTGACTTGGTCTGCAATGGGTATGGGAGGTTCTGGAACATCATTTTCAGGTCTGTTTTCACTTGTGTCCATGGTCACTTCCTCCTTCTCCTCACTGACAGGAGGGGGGAGAGGTTGGGGTGGAGGGCAGAAAAGAACCAAGGGGAAGAGAGAGCAAGATGTTAGTTACTGGGTCAGGAAACCCCCATGCCTCATCACTCGGGTGGGATTAGGAGGGCTACTTTTCAGATCAAGGTTAGAGACCTTGTCCCAATGGGAAAAGTGGGAAACAGATTCTCCTTGGGGGAAGAGTGTGGATCACAGCAACCACATCCACCCACTGCCCAGATGAGTTCAAGTTATTTGTGGGGTTAGGACTGTAACTGTTCTCAAATAATAACTCACCAGAGTACTCTTAAATGAAAGGACGAACACCCTCCCCTGAAAATAGTCCCACAAAAGTGACTGTGATTTGTCCACAACCCTGTGGCTTCAGTCTCCCTGGCCAAAGACACCTTTATGTGGCAAAACTGCATGAGAAACTAAGGGAAGCCCGATTCCCTTAAAAAGACAAGAAAGAATGGCCATGGCTGTGGCAAACAAGCCTGACCCGTGTTTAATCAACTGCTTAATAAGTAAAGGCCTGCTGACCCTCAGGATCTGGAGACAACAGCATGGAGAAACTAGTAGGGGTGAGGGCTGCAGGGAAGAAGCAGGCCTGGCAAGGTTCAAGCTTCAAGGACCCTCTCTCATCCAAAAGGAAAAATTAAAACTGCTGAATAGAGTACAAGAGCTCAGAGATGATTAGGGCCACTTTTACCTGAGAGTTGTAGAAACTGTTCTTACATTCGGCTTTCACCCAGTTTCTCCCACTCCCTCATTCCGACTTCCAAGTGATAAAGACAGCAGGCCTCCTAGTCAGGACACGCCCTCCCCCACACAGGCAGCTTCCCCCCGTGAACACCAAACCCACTCTCCCACTCTTAATCTCCCAAGTTAGCTCCTATTTCAGGAAAAGAATCCCAGAGATTCACTTCAGATAAACTATCTTTCCACCTTTGATTGCTGCCTTCATCCCTAACTTCTATCTCAAATCTCACCCGCTCTACCACCCAAAAACTGGGCCAAAAAAATCAAGATGATCAGAGGCCTAAGTCTCAGGACAGGGGAAACCAAGCCTCCCAGGCCGATAACCACCAGCAGAAAAGTCAGCATTCCCAACAGGCTGACTGACACTCAGAGGTCAGAAGAACCTCCCTAGAGCAGTCAAGGAGGGATGTACTAGGGGGCTAGGGGGAGGGGAAAATTGGAACTGTGCCCCCAGCTAACAGGCCCCCACAGAAAACACGAGCTTGAACTGCTTACATCTAGAGAAAAGGCTTATGCCAAAAAAAAAAAAAAATATATATATATATATATATGTATATTTCCCACACAGAAAGGGCAAGTGGAGCCAATTAGAAACTGGGCAGGAAGGACAAAGGGGGAAAGCAGAATGACTGAAAACAAACCAAAACGAAAGACGGAATGAAAGCCATGAGGAAGAGAAGGAAGATGAAGGGAGCCAGAGCGGTAGGGAAAAGGCACACATGGAAATGTGAAGCTCTCACCCTTCTTTGCTTTCTGATAACATGATTTTTTTTCTCCCCCTGGAAGTGCTGTTTATCCCTTTCTGGAATGGAAGAAATAACAAAAACCAAACAAAAAAAATCCTAAAAAAATTAAAAACAAAAACAAAAACACACCTTCCTTGTCCCAAGATCCCACCACCTCCTCCCCAGCCACCCGATCCAGAGAGAGAAAATTGAGATGTAGCAACCGGGGATCCAAAAAATGGTAAATGGAAGGGGAGGTGGTGGTGGTGCGGGGAGGCTAAAACAGATCTGGCTTTTAAGAGATAAGCGTTAAGTCCTCACGGCAAACCCCGAGTTCGGCTGGATTGATCTCTCTGGAGAAGGAGGAAGAGGGCCAGGCTGCTGGTAGTGGCTGGCTCTATTGTATTGGCGGAGCGGCAGCGATCAGCCGGAGACATGCAGGGGAGCCATCTTGCCACTTACCCAGCAGCCCGTGTGCGCGGATGGGGGAGGGCCCTGCTGCAGCAGGGGAGGAGAAAGAAGAGGGAGGGAGCTGAGTGAGCAAGGTTCTTATCCTTTGGCAGGCCACAGGGAGCTGACTGCTAGCTGGAGAGGCCTGGCCTTCTTTTCTCAGGTTACAGCAGTTACAGAAGCCTAACCCCCCAGGGCTGGAGTGCTCCCTCCTGGTCTTCCCAGGGGGCAAGGGAGGGGTGGGTGGAGGACATAGAAAGTTACAGCTGCTTGATTGGAAGATTCCAGAAAATAGAAGGCAGGAAAACAGAGGTGGGAGTGAAAAAGGATTAAGTAAGAATGATAAAGCCAAAGCTGAAGTGATTAAAGAAGAATGGTAATGAAAGCTGGATAGAGGGTGGGGCATGAGGAATGTTTTAAGTGCCTATCACCCTCTATCCAGGAATCTAGGCAGGGAACACTGAAACCAGACCAGCCAGTCAGATGCTGCAGGTAGGGAAGTGGGATGGGAATTGTCACTATCCAATCACCACAGTAACTAACTGGCTGCTCACTCTGACAACGACCACGTGTTACTACTCCAACATGTCCTTTTCCCAGGATGGTGGAGGGAACTGGATAAGCAGGGAAGGAAGAGTTCTTTTTTGAATTACCAGTAGAAGGGAGACAGGGGGTGGTGTCTCTGAAGAGATGACAGACAACTTTGTTTCACAGAGTCTTTAATAAGGTCACCCTGCCCCAGGGTCCAATGGGGCCAGAAAAAGAAAGGATAAACAGGGCAAGGGGACCTTGGGTAGCTGAAGCTTGAAGGCCACTTCTTGAAGCAAGGGCTCCAAGGTGAAGCTCTAAAGTAGATAAGACAGTGAAGTGAGTGCTGTTATATATGGGACGGGGGAGATCAGCTGGGACAGAAAGTTATTGGGAACTAAGCAGAAAATATTAATCATGGGAATCTTCACTAGACCAAATACGAAGTTGGAACCAGATGCTAGTAATTCAAAAAGTGCTCCGTAGATACTCAAAATGCTTATTTGTTGACTGCAGAGATATTTCTTTTGTATCCTAGTGGCAGCAGCAGTTTAACACTAAAACTTCTGAGAACCAAAGCTCAGTGTCTCATGTAACACGTGCTTTTAGCTAGGAATGAAATTTTCTCCTCGTGGCTTAAAATCTTACACTTACAACGCCAACTGCAGGCCAAAGTGGCCATATTTATACATTACTTTAGATGTTCCCTTTCACATAGTGGTCCCTGTCTGCTCAGAGTCAGGTTGAAGACTTTGGAGTCAGACTAGCTAGCCCCATCCTGTTACAAGCTGTGTGACAGTAGGTAAGTTCCTGGTTCTGTGTATCTGTTTTGTAATCTGTAAAGTGGGGATAATAACAATGCCTATTTCATGGAACAGTGTAATAAGTGTTAGCTCTTAAGAGTCTGGCTTGGAGGACACCCCAAGTGAAGGTACAGATATATATAAAACACATGTACACTTAATAGGCCATTATCTCATTTGATGCCACCTCTGAGACTCTGAGTTTCCTCAAATAGTAGACTGCTTGTTCTCTGAGGCAAAGCCATTTGGTGATTGGCACAACAGGTTTTCAGCAATGCCCTTATCACTCTGTATAACTGCTACTTTACCTGCTCTCATCTCTACCCTGCATAATTCCTCAAGGGGAGGGATTGCACCTCTTAGCCCCTTAGGGCCTAACACAAAGTAATGTTCCCTAACTATTTCTGAATTAGGGTGTCATTGACAGTACCAAGCGGCCACATACTAAATGCTTGCTAACCTGTAAGTTTTATTGAAAAAAAATTTTTTGGCCAGGTGCAGTGGCTTACACCTGTAATGCCAGCACGTTGGGAGGCTGAGGTTGGCAGATCACCTGAGGATGGGAGTTTGAGACTAGCCTGACAACATGGTGAAACCCTGTGTCTACTAAAAATACAAAAATCAGCCGGGTGTGGATGGTGCATGCCTGTAATAGCAGCTATTCGGGAGGCTGAGGCAGGAGAATGGCTTCAACCCAGGACACTGAGGCTGCAGTGAGCCGAGATCACGCCATTGCACTCTAGCCTGGGCAAACAAAGTAAAACTCTGTCCTTTCTGCTGCCCGCCCCCACCTTTTTTTTTTTTTTAAGAAGTGTCACGTTGTTGGAACATAAGGAGTGAAACTGTCTCAAAAAAAGAAAAAAGAAAAAAATTTTTTTCTACAATCCCCACAAAGAATGTTATGCCACAGAAAATGTTACCTTCAGCCATCCTCAAATAAAATGCTGTTTATCCACTGTCCTAAAATACTTTGTTAATACGCCTCTCCAGAAGCAGCTGACTTTGAGCGATTTTGTTATTGAAAATCCTACTTCCTTTTTTTAAGAATAAGAATTTTACCATGCTCCCTTTGCCCTCTTAAGACATAGGAGGCGTGTGTTTTTTATTTCCCCATGATCAATTCTGTGGAACCCAAAAATTCTGAACATTTTATTTTCAGTCGATAATGAGGGCTGGTGTGGTGTCTAATGCCTGTAATTCCAACACTTTGGGAGGCTGAGGTGGGAGGATTGCTTGAGACCAGCCTGGCCAACATGGTGAAACCCCATCTCTACTAAAAATTCAAAAATTAGCTGGGTGTGGTGGCCCGCATCTGTAGTCCTAGCTGCTCAGGAGGCTGAGGTACGATAATTGCTTGAACCCAGGAGGAGGTTGTTACAGTGAGCAGAGATTGCCCCACTGCACTCCAGCCTGGCTAAGAGTAAAACGTCTCCAACAAAAAAAAAAAAAAAAAAAAAAAGAAGACAATGAGGATGAGGAATCCTTGAAACTGTCCCTATAATGACTCTACTTGCTAGTCTAGAACCAAAGCCTTGTTAACTACATGTCAGAGCCCGACACAGCGTTAAGTCTTGTAATTGCATGGAATAAGCAGTAGGGATATCTATCCACAATTAAACAGTACACAATGCATTTATAGCTCAGAAGAAAAGGACTGTACTACTAAGAGGCTAATAATATCACATTATACAATTCATATGTGAATATGAATGAGATTCAGAGAAGCTAATGGAAAAGGAAATTCCTACAGGCATATTTCTTTAAATTTTAGTTATTATGAAAATTCATGAGGAGCTGAAGAACTGATATGAAAATTTAATAAGAAACAGTGGGACTAGATACCTTCAGGAGCATACTGGTCCCAAGATAAACAAAAACCGTTTGATTTTGGGGTATGTGGCCTTAGATAATTTCTCAGTAGAGGAAACTATTGATGACAACAAATTGTGCTTTTTCATGCATCATTTGGGATACTGGCATTGTATGTCTCCTGGGGAATATCAATTACACCATCATATTGGCTTAAGGAACTATTACCTTACTCCTACACAGACAGAAGGACAAACATGCATTATACCAAGAGCTTAAAGCTGCTATTGCCTACTAAGGTTGTGCATACAGGAAGGCTGTATTGAGGAAAATCCAGCTCTGAATTAACTACAACTGAATGATACAGTTGCCCACACAAACAACTCCCCTCTTTCCTTTCTTTCCCTATTTTTTTTTTTTTTTTTTTTTTGAGATGGAGTTTCGCTCTTGTTACCCAGGCTGGAGTGCAATGGCGCGATCTCTGCTCACCGCAACCTCCGCCTCCTGGGCTCAGGCAATTCTCCTGCCTCAGCCTCCTGAGTAGCTGGGATTACAGGCATGAGCCACCATGCCCAGCTAATTTTTTGTATTTTTAGTAGAGACGGGGTTTCACCATGTTGACCAGGATGGTCTCGATCTCTTGACCTCGTGATCCACCCGCCTTGGCCTCCCAAAGTGCTGGGATTACAGGCTTGAGCCACCGCGCCCGGCGTATTTTTTTTTTTTTTTTTTTTTTTTAAGTAAAAAGAGAATACCACTATTTTCTGCTGTATGGGTACTTTTTTTTTTTTTGAGACGGAGTTTTGCTCGTTACCCAGGCTGGAGTGCAATGGCGCGATCTCGGCTCACCGCAACCTCCGCCTCCTGGGTTCAGGCAATTCTCCTGCCTCAGCCTCCTGAGTACCTGGGATTACAGGCACGTGCCACCATGCCCAGTGAATTTTTTGTATTTTTAGTAGAGACAGGGTTTCACCATGTTGAACAGGATGGTCTCGATCTCTTGACCTCGTGATCTGCCCACCTCGGCCTCCCAAAGCGCTGGGATTACAGGCTTGAGCCACCACACCCAGCTAGGTACATTTTTGTTATACCCAGAGTTTTGAACAGGACTCAACTGAAACAGGACTGAGGACCCACAAATTTCTGCTCCAAACAATGAAAAAGACACCTTACCTCATAAATTTAGAATTCCTGAGGCACAATCAGAATCAGAATGGATTTAACCAAATACAGCAAAAAAGTCAATCTCTTCCAAGTGGTGACATGTCCTTGAAGTCTAATTTTTTTTTTTTAACACATTACTGCTCTGTTTTTTAGAGTTGTATGACTTCTTGTTGAGACAGAGAGAAACCAAGGTTAGGCCACAAATGGTCTTACTCTTCTTTTTTTTTTGAGACAGAGAGTTTCCCTTTTGTTGCCCAGGCTGGAGTGCAATGGCATGATCTCAGCTCACTGACTCCTGGGTTCAAGTGATTCTCTTGTCTCAGCCTCCCAACTAGGTGGGATTATAGGTATGCACCATCATGCATGGCTAATTTTTTTTTTTTTTTTTTTTTTTGAGACGGAGTTTCGCTCTTGTTACCCAGGCTGGAGTGCAATGGCGCGATCTCGGCTCACCGCAACCTCCGCCTCCTGGGTTCAGGCAATTCTCCTGCCTCAGCCTCCTGAGTAGCTGGGATTACAGGCACGCACCACCATGCCCAGCTATTTTTTTTGTATTTTTAGTAGAGACGGGGTTTCACCATGTTGACCAGGATGGTCTCGATCTCTTGACCTTGTGATCCACCCGCCTCGGCCTCCCAAAGTGCTGGGATTACAGGCTTGAGCCACCGCGCCCGGCCTAATTTTGTATTTTTAGTAGAGATGGGGTTTCACCATGTTGGTGAGGCTTGTCCTGAACTCCTGACCTCAGGTGATCCACCCACCTTGGCCTCCCAAAGTGCTGGGATTACAAGCATGAGCCACCATGCCTGGCCACGCCATAAATGGTCTTTCCCATTTAGCATTGTTGATTCCACCTTAAAAATTGGCCAAGGCTCTAGAGGACTGGCAGGCTGCACACAACACTCTGGAGGGGTGAGAGACCTGGAATGGTGGTGTTAACCAGTCGTGGTAGGGCCTCCGGAAATGTACGCAACCTTCTCAAAGATTCATTTACCAGATCCAATGCCTATGGGTTTAGGCCTTTAGGCATGTCATTTTGTTAGGCTGTTGAACAAACCATCTGGTAGGCAGTTAGAAAGAAAGCAGCTACGAGTAATGTGTGTGATTTGTTCCTCAGTGGAGACTATTTCTCTATACACTACTCCACTGAGGCTGACCTAGGTAACAATGGACAATCTAAGCATTTGCCCAAGATGCCACTTGCCTATCACCTTATTAAAATCAATGTGATTATCTCAGTCATAAAATGAAGATCAAAACCACCTTTACCTGGGGGATGGGGAAACCTCTATGACTCCAAGCTTCATGTGCCCTGGACTTGCATGGGAATATCCAGAAAAAAAGCTGCTTCAAAACAAAACAAAATACCTTTCTGTTGCTAGCAGCTCATAAACCCACAGAATGTTAAGGCTAGCAAAGAGCTTTTCAGAAAATCATCTTCTTCCCAAGGTGCATAGGAAGCAGTTTCTCAGGTCTGATTAGCAGCAGGGCTGTCAATACCCACTTCAAAACTGCCATTTCACAAAGGACATGCTTTTGTAAAATTGTATGTAAAATGTACCTCCATGGAACTGGGAGGAGGTTATGTCTGGCAGAGGGATATGGAAGAGAAAATGTCACACCATTTCCTCATCGATGATGTAGCTGGGGAATCCTGAACACCTTCCAGAATCCGCTGAGCATTCACTTTATGGTCCTAGAAGAAAAACCCTTTTCCAAAGGATAATGTACCCATTCCAGAAGGGAAACACAAAAAAATGTCAAAGGAAATAGAGTGAACTTTTGGCTGCCAAACAAAAAATGTAATAGCCACAAGATGGCAGCAGAGGCAAGACTATCAGAATGGACAAGGCTCTATCCCCAACAAGGGTATATTGCCATGCAAAAGCTATATAGTAAGGTCTTCAAAAACTATCATTAAAGTCACAAGCATGAGATATAACATGAGATAAATCATGTCACCTGCCCAATACCCTCCAAAAGTCAGAGTTAAAGTACAGTTTGAAGCTCTCAGTAGAGTGTAAATTATTAGACAATTACATATAGGGGAAAATTGTTTTGGTAGCATTATTTAAATGGCATAAAAACAAGCATAGAATAACTTTATGCCAAGTCTACAAAGGACATTCTACAAAGCAGTTCAGGGTTCCTGATGTCTAAAAGCTAAGCAATCTTACTCCCACAGGCTTCATTTTTTTTCATTTCCCATGAGATGTTGAAGCCAGGAATTCTGGTTCACTGGCTTCTTAATTTGTAATACCTATCTGAGAAGAATGAACACCTACTTAATTACAAATTTAACCTGATACGTGTATTTCTCTAAGACTTAACGTAAGGATTTAAAAACTCAATTTAGGCGGGGTGCAGTGGCTCCCACCTGTAATCCCAGCATTTTGGGAGGCCAAGGCAGGTGGATCACAAGATCAAGAGACAGAGACAATCACAGCCAACATAGTGAAACCCTGTCTCTACTAAAACTCTACTAAAAATTCAAAAATTAACTGGGTGTGGTGCACGCATCTGTAATCCCAGTTACTCGGGAGGCTGAGGTAGCAGAATCGCTTGAACCTGGGAGGTAGAGGTTACAGAGAGCCAAGATCGTGCCACTGTACTCCAGCCTGGCGACAGAGTGAGACTCCATCTCAAAAAAGAAAAAGAGAGACCTCCTCTTAATTGTATAAATTTTAAATTCAATCAAATGGTCTTAAGGGTCCAGGAATAAACTTCTTACTTGATAGAACTTTATATTTAGCTGTATTGTATGCTGTAAGAACTAGGGTATCCTAACATAACTAGGGGAAATACACAAACTAAAAAATAGCACCCAGCTGTGCCTTTCTGTATTAAGACCCTCAATATCCTTTACTAAACTGGGTTCCTGGGTAAATATAAGTTAAAGATTAAGATGCCCTGAGTCAATTCCCTTACCTGCTTTTGAGTGTGGAAGCAGAAGCTTCTACTGCCTGAACCATAAAGGAGCTGACTATTTTGGCTGGATGATCCCAGGTGTGTTTTCCTTATGCCCTAATGACCACTTTTCAGGTTACCTTAAAGGTGGCAGCTCCCAACATAGTAATTGAAGTGTAGCCTTTGTCCACATAAAGCTCTGCCTTTCTGCTTTAAAAGGAAACTAGGACTGCTTAGTCCAAGAACCCTAGGGAGCAAAGAACTATCGCACACTCATAGTTCCTTGTTATACTCCGGTCGAGGTATATCACTTACACAGTGTGATGAATCCTTTCTGATTCTGGGAGATGAGAGGTCTGAGTCTCTGAGGTTTGGGGCTGTGTGGCAGCTGGTGGCTCTGCCTCTTCAGCTTCACACTTCTTTGGGCTCCCCTGTCAGGAGATAGCAAAAACAAACAGCAAAGTACTTAAATCTGCTTAGTTCCTTTTCCTCGACCTGGAGCCTGAAAAAGGCAGGACAGGACATACACAGTACCAGCTCCACACGCAGCCCTCTGTATCTTTGTTATTTCATTTTAGAATAAGGAATGGAAAAATAGGTACTTCAAGAATATCTATGGCAGCAACCATTTTATCAGAATTTTTTATTTATTTTTTCCCTTTTCCTCAGTGATCTTGTTCTGACAGAATTCTTTTTTGAGAGAACTGAGCAAAGGCTGCTTCCTTTTGGCAGATAAGAGGAGTCCTGGGGAAGAATTGACCCTGGGAGCCCTGAAGATAACCCTGCTCAGCCTCATGTAGAATTTCCATGAACCAGGGAGCTGGAAATGAGTTAAGTGAGATTAACAGGTATCCCCTACATTTCTACTGACCCTTGTCCAGACTTAACTTTTTAGTTTTATAGCAAAGACAAGAGAGAAGATCTTGCTTAACCCGCCATCTCTGTGTAGGGAGTGGTCACAATAGCCTACCCGCTCAGGCTGTAACCTCTGGGTCACATGCTTTTCAGCTGGCTCAGGCTGACTCAGACGCCTTGCTTGGACAGAGGACGAGGAGGACGATGTCCTCTCCTTTGGCTCAAGGATCTGTAGTTGTGGCACTGGTGGAGTTGCAACCTCCTGACCAGAAGAGGGATCTTTGGTTTCAGTATAGCTGGTGCTGCTGTCCCTGGAGACTCCAGGGCTCAGAGACTAAAACAAAATAAAACACATAACAAGGAAAATTATTGTATATGGTAGATATTCAGTACACTGCTGAGTTTTCCAGTTTCCATGGACCAAATTTTATACTTTAGACCTTTATGTCTGTTTACTCCCATTTAAGTTAGTGGCCTCCTTGTCTGCTTATTTAACAAATAATAGTTTTAACTAGGTGCTGGGTCCTGGGACACACATGTAAAAAGGCATGCCCATACCCTCAAGAAGGTTACGACTAGTGGAGGAGATGAGTATGTAAAGTCAACATTCTCTGATATCAAAGGGACTTAAAATGAAAAAGAACTCCATTTTGGAAACCAATTAATTGAAAATTAGATTCTGAAATGAGGGGAAAGTAATCAGCAAAGGGGACTAAAGGAGGTTTTCTCTCTTCCTTCCAGAAATCATGACAGGTTCTCCAGGGGTTGAAATGAAAACCAATGGAATATGACAGAACATGAATATACCCAGGATTCTCTCATACTCACTTTTCTGCTGTTGCTTGATGCTGAACGAGAACGAGAACGTGAACGTGAACGTGAACGTGAACGTGAACGTGAACGTGAACGTGACCTGGACTCTGATGTTGATCTGGAGCCCATCTTGGGTGTACCACGAGGGTTGGCATGATTACGTGCCTGGGCTACATCTCTCTGCTTGGATCTGAGAGGTGAATGAGACTGAGAACCTGAACTGTCAGGAGAGCGAGACCTTGATCTAGAACTGGAAGAGGAAGATGAGGAGGACCGGCTAGAGGATGAATCAGCTGACTGTTTCAATCTGTGGCCTGGGGGAAGGGTATGAGAAGCTCTTCTGCCTTCCTTCTGTTCCAAAGATGGCTGTTTCAGAGATTCTTCAGTGATTCCTTTGGCCAGTGCTAACTCTTCAATTTTCAGAGGGAGCGGCTGAGCAGATCTGTCTGATTCAGGTTCAAGACTCTTCCAGGCCGAGTAGTCAGACAGTGTGCTTCTCTGAATGAGAGGGAGGACACTCTCCTCTGGCACTTTCTCTGCTGGAGATTCTGCTTTGGTGTCTGCAGGACTTGACAAAGGAGACAGGCCTCCTACCAACTGGACAGTATGCCGAGATACTAACAGCTCCCTGGTCTCAGCAGCTGTATTAGGAGGAGATAACTGAATGAGGACAGGGGGGGCTGGGCCTTCCATGGGCTCTACTTCTTCTTCGCTATGGAGTTGTGTATGAGGTGGTGGTGAAGATGCTTCCTTGGTAAGTAAAGGTGGAGGAGTCTCTTCCTCGCTGGCAGTTTGCTCTGGCTGCACTACAAGTGGGACCTTCTTTAGATCTTCAGTCAGTCGAGGAGGGGAAGGGGATTTTGATTTTTCCTTTAAGCCTTGTGAAGATTTTATTTCTCTTTCTTCCTCCTCAAGGGGAGATGTTTTCATTTCTTTCTCCTGCTGTTGTCTGGCCAAATGGCTTTTCCTAGCCTCTTCCTGGGATCTTGTAACTCTCCCTCCTCTCTCTAACACCTCCTGTTCCTGGGATCTTACTGATTTAGGTCTCTCATCCATTATCTCCTCTGGTTTTACTCTGGGCATCTCTTCCCCCTCCTCTTCCTTAAGCTCTTTCAGGATTGGTGCCTCCCTAGATTTTTGTCCCTCATCATCATCTTCTTCCTCTTCATCATCTTCTTCCTCCTCCTCCTCCTCTTCTTCCTCTTCTGTTTTCAAACTTCGATCTGCTCTGACTCTCAAGTTTCTGGAAGGTGTTTCTTGATCCTCTTCCTCCTCAGCAGGCTGGCTGCCCTCAGAGAGTTTAGCTGCTCTTGCCTGAAAGAACAGATATACAATGGCTTCAAATGTATTTGCTCACAATCAACAGAGGAGACAAAGTATCTAATGAGACACCCCTAGGAAGGAGAAATTCAATGATACATACTGTCAGCAACAGAAACAGGTGTGATAGGAGAAAGTCATGACTAATGTGGTCCTTAGAGCAATCAAAATAGAGTGACCAAAAGGAATATAATAATGAAGCTACTTCTATCTAGTTTTAAGTTTTAGCTTCAAGCATCCTTGTTTTCCCCAATAAAATATTAGCAGAGCCTCTAGAAAGTAGAAAAGGAGAATGCGGGGGCCGAAGAGAACTAACCTACTATCAATTAATATGATTATCTTTTTATCATTTTGGTATTTTTTTTGTCCTTTCCTCTAATCATTTCCTTTGTACAGTCATAATCACACTACACATAACACTTTTGTAGTCTGCCCACTTAATATTGTATCAAATAACTTTTAAGCTTTAATTGGATGGTTAATTATGTCATATCTTATCTAATAATGTGTTTTAAGAATATAAACCACTGGCCGGGCGCGGTGGCTCAAGCCTGTAATCCCAGCACTTTGGGAGGCCGAGGCGGGTGGATCACGAGGTCGAGAGATCGAGACCATCCTGATCAACATGGTGAAACCCCGTCTCTACTAAAAATACAAAAAGTTAGCTGGGCATGGTGGTGCGTGCCTGTAATCCCAGCTACTTAGGAGGCTGAGGCAGGAGAATTGCCTGAGCCCAGGAGGCGGAGGTTGCGGTGAGCCGAGATCGCGCCATTGCACTCCAGCCTGGGTAACAAGAGCGAAACTCCGTCTCAAAAAAAAAAAAAAAAAAAAAAAAGAATATAGACCAGGCTGCTAACTTTCTTTTTTTTTTTTTTGAGGCGGAGTTTCACTCTTGTTACCCAGGCTGGAGTGCAATGGCGCGATCTCGGCTCACCGCAACCTCCGCCTCCTGGGTTCAGGCAATTCTCCTGCCTCAGCCTCCTGAGTAGCTGGGATTACAGGCACACGCCACTATGCCCAGCTAATTTTTTGTATTTTTAGTAGAGATGGGGTTTCACCATGTTGACCAGGATGGTCTCGATCTCTTGACCTTGTGATCCACCCGCCTCGGCCTCCCAAAGTGCTGGGATTACAGGCTTGAGCCACCGCGCCCGGCGGCTGCTAACTTTCAAATTTAAATTTTTAAAAAATATCCACTTAGAAATCTGAAAGCCAGAGAAGACCTAAATAAAAAGACAAAATGAATAACAAAAAGATGACAAAGAGAAGGAAAATGAGTACAAAGAAATCTAGAGGTCAGGCACAGTGGCTCATGCCTGTAATCCCAACCCTTTGGGAGACTGAGGAGGAAGGACTGCTTAAGCCTGGGAGGTTGAGGCTGTAGTGAGCTGTGCCTGCACAACTGCACTCCAGCCTAGGCAACAGAGCAAGACCCTGTTCCCCCCCACCCCCCACCCCCCCAAAAAAACCCAAAATCTAGAGACATACTAACTTGAAAAAAGTCTGAGGAGGAAGAGAAGATATACAAAGCATTACTAAAGAGGTGATGCTTTAGGAGGCATCTGAGTTACCTGTCTGACCCTAGATGATCGTCTTTCTCCTTTCCTTGGTTTCTCATCATCAGAGTCACCTTTCTCTTCAGAAATTGAGGAACTTTTTCCTATTGAATGAAAAAGAATCAAGTCAGATTCATGATGGGAAGACTCATTCATGGCTTTTTAAAATCAGGCTTTCTAAACTCCAACCAATCATAGCATATGAATATATCAAGACATATCTGTATCAATTTCTTTGACTTCCACGCTAAAGAAAAGACTACATAAAGCCCTAAGGTCAGGATCTTATTGGTAATTCTTGGTGTGTATGTCTAGAATATTTTCAATACCTCAAAGCCAATTCACCCATTATAAATAATTCAAATAAATACAAAATAATTTCCAGGGGCTTCAAATTATCTAGCAGGGATGTACAAAGTGTACTTATTTCTACAAAGTCTTGTTACTATGAATAAAGTTTAAGACTTCGTTACGTTCTATATCCATTTTTTTGAATTGTCTGTTACTACTACTTTCTAATTTCAACCAAAATATTATGATTAAATTACTAATCTGCAAAACAAACTCAAGAAATAAGTACTTAGAGGAATGTTTTTCAGCGTCCTAAAGTTCCTAGAAATTACTTCCAGCCAACTGGATGGGGTTTCAGAATTGGGTCTTCTCTTTTTTTTTTTTTTGAGACGGAGTTTCGCTCTTGTTACCCAGGCTGGAGTGCAATGGCGCGATCTCGGCTCACCGCAACCTCCGCCTCCTGGGTTCAGGCAATTCTCCTGCCTCAGCCTCCTGAGTAGCTGGGATTACAGGCACGCGCCACCATGCCCAGCTGATTTTTTGTATTTTTCGTAGAGACGGGGTTTCACCATGTTGACAAGGATGGTCTCGATCTCTTGACCTCGTGATCCACCCGCCTCGGCCTCCCAAAGTGCTGGGATTACAGGCTTGAGCCACCGCGCCCGGCCGGGTCTTCTCAATTAGGTTTTATGTGTTAGAGCTCAAGGTGAGGTTTTTTTTTTTTTTTTTTTTTGAGACGGGAGTCTTGCTCTGTGCCCCGGGTTGGAGTGCAGCTGTGCAATCTTGCCTCATTGAGACGTCCATCTCCTGGGTTCAAGCGATTCAAGGCCTCAACCTCCCAAGTAGCTGGGATTACAGGTGCCCGCCACCATGCCTGGCTAATTTTTGTGTTTTTTTATTAGAGACAGTGTTTTGCCCTGTTGGCCAGGCTGGTCTTGAACTCCTGACCTCAAGTGATCTGCCTGTCATGGCCTCCCAAAGTGCTGGAATTACAGGTGTGAGCCACTGCACCCCGCCTAGGTAAGATTTTTTTTTTTAAAGGAAAAAAATAAGTTCTATTAAAAGAAAGCTTGGAAACCACCAATCTAGGCTATCCTGAATGATAAAACCATGTAAAAACTGAAAGAAAGTTTCACTCAAATTCCATGAAGGAAGGTAACTGTGGGTATATCACTTAAGTAATTTGGGTCTCGATATCTTTCTTTTTAGACAGGGTTTTGCTCTGTCACTCAGGCTGGAGTGCAGTGGCATGATCATGGCTCATTGCAGCCTCAGCCTCTACGGCTCAAGTAATTCTCCCACCCTGGTTTTCCCAAAGTGCTGAGATTAAGGTATAAACCACTGTGCCCAAGTCTCAAATGTTGTGACTGAGAAAAAGGAGGGGCTGGACTAGATGATTTCTAAATTTCCTACCAGAATTAAAATACTATGTAGAACAGCAATACAAATATCAATGAGCTATTTAGTTTAGAAAATAGCACAAAGATAATTATATTCCAGATACTTAATCAGCTAGATTGTACTCAATTTTTTTTTTTTTTTTTGAGACGGAGTTTCGCTCTTGTTACCCAGGCTGGAGTGCAATGGCGCGATCTCGGCTCACCGCAACCTCCGCCTCCTGGGTTCAGGCAATTCTCCTGCCTCAGCCTCCTGAGTAGCTGAGATTACAGGCACGTGCCACCATGCCCAGCTAATTTTTTGTATTTTTAGTAGAGACGGGGTTTCACCATGTTGACTGGGATGGTCTCGATCTCTCGACCTCGTGATCCACCCGCCTCGGCCTCCCAAAGTGCTGGGATTACAGGCTTGAGCCACCGCGCCCGGCCGATTGTACTCAATTTTAATACACTACGAAAGGTTTAAATGATCCATAAAATCCCGTTTTTTTTTTTGAGACAGATTCTCACTTGCCCAGGCTGGAGTGCAGTGGTGTGATCTTGGCTCACTCCAACCTCTACCTCCCAGGTTCAAGCAATTCTCCTGCCTCAGCCTCCTGAGTAGCTGGGATTACACGCAAGTGCCACCACACCTGGCTAATTTTTTGTATTTTTAGTACAGACAGGGTTTCACCACGTTGACCAGGCTGGTCTCAAACTCCTGACCTCAAGTGATCCGCCCGCCTCAGCTTGCCAAAGTGCTGGGATTACAGGCGTGAGCCACTGTGCCCTGTCCCCACAAAACCATGTTCTACAGTAACAGAGCAAACAAAGCAGGTAGTGTGCAGCTCTAACCCAAGATCTTCTCTCTTATTTCTAAATCCTTATAATCTAAAATGAAATAGGCTTCTGTAATAATAATTTAAAAACAAAAAAACAAAAAAACAAGGCCAGGAGCTTGAGACCAGCCTGGCCAACATGGTAAAATCCTACCTCTACTAAAAATACAAAAAAAAAAAAAAAAAAAAAATTAGCTGGGCATGGTGGCTTGCCCCTGTAGTCCCAGATGCTTGGGAGGCTAAGGCAGGAGAATCACTTGAACCCAGGAGGCGGAGGCTGCAGTGAGCTGAGATCACGCCACTGCCCTCAAGCCTGGGCAAGTGAGACTCTGTCTACAAAAAAAAAAAGTCAAGTAACTGGAGTGCAGTGGTGCACTCCAAAAATTAGTGCATACAAAATTAGTACGTACAAGCAAAAGAGCCTCTTTCTCTACCTATTGTGAACTATATACTATTCTATTGGATTATAACTTTTTTTTTGAGACAGAGTTTCCCTCTTGTTGCCCAGGCTGGAGTGCAATGGTGTCTTCTCAGCTTATTGCAACCTTCAGCTCTTGGGTTCTAGCGATTCTCCTGCCTCAGCCTCCCAAGCAGCTGGGATTACAGGCACGCGCCCGGCTAATTTTTGTATTTTTAGTAGAGACAGGGTTTCACCATGTTGGCCAGGCTGGCCTCGAACTCCTGACCTCAAGTGATCTGTCTCAATCTCCTAAAATGCTGGGATTACAAGCATGAGCCACTGCGCCCGGCCATAATGTTATTTTTGATACTATAAAAGTGCAGTGATAGGATTTCTGGATGATTACTCCTCTGGAAGCACTCTTAGTAAGTCATCAAAGAGATCTGGAGAAATGAGCAGGGCTGTTCAGAAAGTTTCGGTCATTACTGTTTTACAGTAAAAGTGAAAACTGAAGGGGCCTCAGACATGAAACAAGAAATTAGCAATACAAAATGTAAAGATTAGGAATCTTTTTCTGGTTCTTTGGAAAGAGCTGATGTGATACAGGCAAACTCCAGGGAAAGGTGATACCTTCTATTATAAGCACAGGGTCACACTGAATGTCTTAGGCCAGATGTTAGTAACAAGTGTAGACAGTGAGCACTTTAGCTAAGGGTCGAGCCAATACTGATAACATGCTAATAATAAATGTATTTCAGGATTTGAAAAACAAGTTAGGGCAAATATGAGATTTCCAAGAGTCCAAAGCCAGAAGTCTTCAGAGAGAGGAAAAGGCAGATGCTAGACAATGCAGGATATATTAAAGTGCAGAATGTTTATGGGTTATAGAGGAAACAGTTCTTCATCCTAGAAAACAAATTCCTGGGCAGGATTTGTGGGACCAAACTAAGGTAGCCAGAGATGGAAGAAAAGCCTGTGGCTAAAAGGTAACCTTAGATATGAATAAACATCAGGAATTAAAAGAATACAGACCTGGAAACAACGCCAAACCTAAATCTGAACTCATGTTAGACCTGTATTTAAGATATCTAGCATTTCTCTAGAATTTCAACATCCAGGTTTTAATATGGAGATAAAGAAATGAGGGGCATACTCTACAAACCAAAGGCTGGCTAAGGTCACCGCTATTAAAGAATCAATATTCTGAATATCCATTTTTAAATGTATTTTCTGTTTGAGCTCTTTTTGAAAAAATTAAGGACAGTAAGAATTTCTGTACATACAATCATGATACAGAAGCAAATCTAGACAACTTCTGTCTACGGTAGGTGGATAATGAGTTCTAACACCTTAGAAAAATCTGAAGAAAGTGATGAAGACCTAAATCAAGAGGGAAAGTCAGACAGGATTTTATAAACCAATTTATTTATTTATTTATTTACTTATTTTTTTTTTTTTTTGAGATGGAGTTTCACTCTTGTTACCCAGGCTGGAGTGCAATGGCGCGATCTCGGCTCACCGCAACCTCCGCCTCCTGGGTTCAGGCAATTCTCCTGCCTCAGCCTCCTGAGTAGCTGGGATTACAGGCACGAGCCACCATGCCCAGCTAATTTTTTTGTATTTTTAGTAGAGACGGGGTTTCACCATGTTGGCCAGGACGGTCTCGATCTCTTGACCTCGTGATCCACCTGCCTCGGCCTCCCAAAGTGCTGGGATTACAGGCTTGAGCCACCGCGCCCGGCTCCAATTTTTTTTTTTTAAGACAAGATTTCACTCTGTCGTCTGTCTCTTTGACCTCTGGGGCCCAAGCAATCTACCTACCTCAGCTCCCAAGTAGCTGGGACCACAGGCATGTGCCATCACAGTCAGCTAACTTTTTCTATTTTTTTTGGTACAGATAGGACTTGCTATGTTGCTCAGGCCAAGTCTCAAACTCCTGGGTGACCCTTCTACCTCAGCCTCCCAAAGTGCTAGGACTACAGGCATGAGCCCTTACACTTCGGCAAACCAATTCTTCCTTCCTTTTTGGGATTCTGCCCATAGCACGTAAACAGGAAGATGCTGGAATATAAACCAAAGATCTTGATAAATTATAACACAGAAAAACTCTTCTTTCAGTCATCATAAAACGAATTGGTCAACAGAACCACTCAGGGAGAGTCCTAGGACTCCTATTCCTTAAGATTCTTTGGGTAGAGCCCAGGAATCCATATTCTTAAACATAGTAATGTTTTTTGTTTTTGTTTTTGTTTTTTTGAGATGGAGTCTCGCTCTGTTGCCTAGCTAGAGTGCAGTGGCATGATCCTGGCTCACTGCAACCTCCGCCTCTGGGTTCCAGCGATTCTCCTGCCTCCCAAGTAGCTGGGACTAAAGATGTGTGCCATCGTACCCAGCTAGTTTTTGTATTTTTAGTAGAGACAGGGTTTCACCATGCTGGCCAGGATGGTCTCCATCTCTTGACCTCGTGATCTGCCTGCCTCGGCCTCCCAAAGTGCTGGGATTACAGGCGTGAGCCGCAGTGCCCGGCCTAAACAAAGCAAACCTAAATAAATAAATAAATAAATAAATAAATAAACCAAAACCCTCAGGTGCCACTAGAATTTTGAAAAATGTTAGCAGAAAACTTAATCAAAATTTGTTATTTAAGAGAGAATCCAAAATAACCCAAAGCCAACAAATAAGCTGCCACTGCAATGGCATACAGCAGACTGAGATTCTACGCTTGGAAGAATCTGATTTCTGGGCAAACACTAGGGTTAATGCTGATTCACCTAAGCACTGCTAGAACTCCAAATTGTCACTCCATTCAGGACCTTTAACTAAATTTTGTACAAAATCTATAATGAGATTTTTAGCTAAGCCAAGATAAGAAGTAGGAAAGAATACAAAAAATTAGCTGGGCATGGTGGCACGTGCCTGTAATCCCAGCTACTCAGGAGGCTGAGGCAGGAGAATTGCCTGAACCCAGGAGGCGGAGGTTGCAGTGAGCCGAGATCGCGCCATTGCACTCCAGCCTGGGTAACAAGAGCGAAACTCCGTCTCAAAAAAAAAAAAAAACAAACAAACAAAGAAGTAGGAAAGTTTATCGTATAAAAAGACACTTAAGAGCATTTAAGGCAATTATTAGCAGTACTCTACAATTTACTACATTCATGCTTTCCAATTTACTTTTCACCTTTTATTTATTTATTTTTTTGTAGAGACGGGGTTTCACCATGTTGACCAGGATGGTCTCGATCTCTTGACCTGGTGATCCACCTGCCTTGGCCTACCAAAGTGCTGGGATTATAGGCGTGAGCCACCGCACCCTTTTTATTTTTTTATTTTTTTTTTGAGACGGAGTTTCGCTCTTGTTACCCAGGCCAGAGTGCAATGGCGCGATCTCGGCTCACCACAACCTCCGCCTCCTGGGTTCAAGCAATTCTCCTGCCTCAGCCTCCTGAGTAGCTGGGATTACAGGCAAGCGCCACCATGCCCAGCTAATTTTTTGTATTTTTAGTAGAGACGGGGTTTCACCACGTTGACCAGGATGGTCTCGATCTCTCGACCTCGTGATCCACCCGCCTCGGCCTCCCAAAGTGCTGGGATTACAGGCTTGAGCCACCGCGCCCAGCCACCTTTTATTTTTTTAACCTCTGGGTTTTTTTTTTCCTCCATCAATTATTAGTTATGGGTAGGGTCTTATTGATGACATAAAGCACTGAAAAGATTGGCTACCCCTACTCTAAATCTTTGCTTTTGAAATCTATTTCAGAAATCATTCCTCATTTTCATTTCAAATTATATTAAGAACTGAGAGCCTTTCTTTTCTTTTTTTTTTTTTTTTTTGAGACGGAGTTTCGCTTGTTACCCAGGCTGGATGGAGTGCAATGGCGCGATCTCGGCTCACCGCAACCTCCGCCTCCTGGGTTCAGGCAATTCTCCCGCCTCAGCCTCCTGAGTAGCTGGGATTACAGGCACGCACCACCATGCCCAGCTAATTTTTCGTATTTTTAGTAGAGATGGGGTCTCACCATGTTGACCAGGTTGGTCTCGATCTCTCGACCTTGTGATCCACCCGCCTCAGCCTCCCAAAGTGCTGGGATTACAGGCTTGAGCCACCTCGCACGGCTGTTAGCCTTTCTTTTTTTAAGGAAAGGTCTTTATCAAATCATGGTCCTATTAAGAATTTTAGGGCCGGGCACGGCGGCTCAAGCCTGTAATCCCAGCACTTTGGGAGGCCGAGGCGGGTGGATCACGAGGTCGAGAGATCGAGACCATCCTGGTCAACATGGCGAAACCCCGTCTCTACTAAAGATACAAAAAATTAGCTGGGCATGGTGGCACGTGCCTGTAATCCCGCTACTCAGGAGGCTGAGGCGGGAAAATTGCTTGAACCCAGGAGGCGGAGGTTGCGGTGAGCCGAGATCGCGCCATTGCACTCCAGCCTGGGTAACAAGAGCGAAACTCCGTGTCAAAAAAAAAAAAAAAAAAAAAAAAAGAATTTAAAATGGTTCACCCATTACCTATAGAATTTAAAAAAAAAAACCTCATACTTATTGGCCTGGCATTTAAAACCCTCTGTATATCACCCGAATCTACCTTTTACCTTGTTTTGCTATTATGGAATGTGAATACTCTCCTCTGGCTAGATTAGTCTACCTTTCCTTTAAAAATACCACATTCATTTCTACCTCTGCTTTTGTTCCTTCCTAAAAATATGTTCTTTTATCTTCTCTGTCACTTTAATCCCTAACCATTTCTAAGGCTCAGCTCAAATCCTATACCTTCTTATGAAGCTTTCTCTAATCACTCTAGTCCTCAATGCTCTTCCACTCTTTTGGGTCCCTGTATCTGTACCATTATGTCACATACTATCTTCTATTGTTTGATTTATGTGCAATTGTTCTCTCTTCCTAACAGACTTTATGCTGTGCTAATCCCCTACATATTCTCACACAGAGGTATGTATGTAGTAGAAATTCAATAAATATTTTTGAGTTTTATTTGAGAAGAAAAATTGACAATTAATTTTAGAAAAGCTTTCTCTTTCCTCTAGGCTTTAAAATCAGGAGGGAAAGAGCATAAAGAGCAAAGGGGATCAACTGAGGGTCTACTACTGTCATATTTCAGGAGAAAAGAGCCCCTAAGGAACTTAGTAATTCCAAAGTATTGGTCAGTATTTTCTTACTAAAAGGTTTTTTAAAATGTTCTTCTGAGTCTAAGACTAGGATCAAAAAAAACATGGACTGAGTAAAATAGGAGCTTAAAATTAGACTCAAAGGCTATTTTCTCTAGCCTTTTGGAAAATTTCTTTCCCGCCATTAAATATCTCCTTAAAAACATATTTTCATGAAGGAATTCGAATGCTGCTCAGCCTTTTACTAAAATCAAATGTAGTCCATGAAGGAATTCTATAATCAGAAGAGCCGGAATCTTCCACACATCCTAAACACACTGATTATAGTGGATTCCCCCTCCCCCACTAACATTAGTAATTACTCAAAATACTTGTTAAGTTATGCATTGGTTTAACATATCTACTACCAATACATGTTTTATATACATGTTAAGTATCCCTTTTCCAAAATGCTTGTGATCACAAATGTTTTGGATTTTTGAATATTTGCATTATATTGAATCAGCAACCCTAATTTGAAAATCCAAAATCTGAAATGCTCTGATGAGCATATTTCCTTTAAGTGTCAGGTGAATGCTCAAAAAGTTTTGGGTCTTCAGATTAGACATGCTCAACCTGTATATATTCTCCTGAAAGTACACTGATTTAGACAGGTAGTTCCCAAAAGACAAAGGCTATATTTATAGACTTTTGCTTGAGGTATTACGCAAAATTGAGGGCTTATTATCATCATCATATATACTTTTTGAGATAGAATCTCGCTCTCTTGCCCATGCTGCCACCATGCCTGGCTAATTTTTGTATTTTTAATACAGACAGGGTTTTGCCATGTTGACCAGGCTGGTCTGGAACTCCTGACCTCAGGTGACCACCTACCTTGGCCTCCCAAAGTGTTGAGATTACAGGTGTGAGCCACTGCTCCTGGCCTGGGTGCTTAATATTTTTTATAATGTAAAGAAATTAATCTTGCCTGAACCAATGTTATATACTAGGTTAGAGCTCCCTATTATAAGATGCTCACATAATATTCTGCATTGTCTTGCACAGTAACCAATACAACTGTTAACTAATGTCCATCTCCTCACTAGACTAAGTTTCTTGGGGCTGAGACTTGTTTCTTTCTTTACTATATTCCTAGTGTCTAGCATGTGCCTGGTATACAACAAGTACACAACAAAAATTTGATTAAACCACAGCAAATGCCCAATTTGGAGATGACTGAATGTGTTAATACGTAATATATACAACTGGTGAAGAGATGAAAAAGAGCTGACTGTTGCCAAATTCAGAGGTAGAAAAGTTGAAGAGGTACAGATGAGATAAAAAATCATACTGCTTTGTAAAACAATGAGAAAGTAACACAATATTTAGGTGAAAGCAGACTTCAAAAAGAGCATAATTTCCATGAGAAACAGATGTCAAATATTAACATCACAGAATTTTCCTGGGACTTTCATGGAGGCTTAGCATGAAAGGAGGTGTAACTACCTCCCCCCACCAACTACGCAGGATTGACAAAACAGCGCAGTGGGGAGGGAGATACGTACTGGGCGAATGTCTGCTGAGCTCCAGCTCTGGTCTCTCCAGGCTGCTCTGAAAGTCAGGAGGCAGCAGGGAAGCCACTCCCTCAGGATGGATCATCTCGTCCTCCGACTCAGCTGAAGCTTCTGCAAAGTACAGATTGGGTCGGGGCAGGGAGGGAGTGAAGGACTCAGCATGTAGGAATATGTAGAGGAGTGAAGGAGGTCAGGCAAAGTCATAGATACAGAGATACATACCAAAAAGAGCACTGTATACAAAGAAAAAAACTCCCTGGGATTCAGCTCTACTTCATCTAAATGGTAGCTTAATTTACTTATAACTCTTCCTGTTGGCAGAAATCCTCTTCTAACAAGACAGTCAAATTAAGTGTCCTCTTCCCTGACAAAAGTAAACAGTAGATCACTTGGCTTCATGGGCTACGAAAGCCAAGTAAGTAGCAGTCTCTGCCTCACTTATTTCTGAAATCGCCTAGTTAGGCCTATCTGCTTGGTGACAGGGATAAGAATGACGAACCCTTTGTTAAAAGTGACAATCTGGGCTTACCTTCAAGTTCTGCAGCTTCTCGAGCTTCACGTTCCAGACGCTGCCTAAGTAGCTCCTGCTGCTTTTCCAGATACTGTTTTATGAAACTGTTCTGGCTCATTTCCTCACCAATCTGTGTAGAGGAAATGAAAAAGAGGGTCTAGGAAAACAAACCAGGAAAATGCAAACGAGAAAATTCCATGGAGCCAAGGTCTACTCCTTCTACTTGGAACCAAGAAAGGTAACTAAAATATTGAAGGGCTCTTTTCTAAGTTAGTTCTACACTGAGGAACAGAACAGCCTTGAGTCACAAAAAAAGGGCAAAAAGAACTGCACATAATTTTTTGTTTCAAATATTCAGTTCCCAAGTAGTGATACTGGTATACAAATAACTTTAAAAAATTTATTTTTTTTGAGATATTGTCTCACTCTGTTGCCCAGGCTGTAGTGCAGTGGCATGATCTCAGCTTACTGCAACCTCCACTTCATGAGTGGCTGGGATTACAGGTGTGTGCCACCACACCTGCAAGGTTTCACCATGTTGGACCAGGCTGGTCTCAAACTCCTGACCTCAAGTGATCACCTGCCTCGGACTCCCAAAGTGCTAGGATTATAGGCATGAGCCACTGAGCTCAGCCACAAATAACCTTAAAAAAAATTAAAATTCCAGTAATTATACCTTTTAGGCTAAATTCCTAGGTAACGTGGCATATTATCTAAAGGTAATCTAAAATTTCCTTTTGTTAGTATCAAGACTGAAGCATGGTGGCTCACATCTGTAATCCCAGTACTTTGGGAGGCTGAAGTGGGAAGACTGCTTGAGCTCAGGAGTTCGAGACCAGCCTCAGCAATGTGGCAAAACCTGTCTCTACAAAAAAATACAAAAAAGATGGGCATATGGTGGTGTGAGTTTGTCATCCTGGCTACTCAGGAGGTGGTAGTTGTAGTGAGCTGAGAGTGTGCCACTGCACTTCAGCCTGGGTTAAAGACAAGACTCCATCTCAAGAAAAAAAAATAAAAAGCCAGTTCCTCCAAAAGATCAATCATTACCTATCCAGAAAACTTTTCTTTTTTTGAGACAGAGTATCACTTTGTCAGGCAGGCTGGAGTGCAATGGCATGATCTCAGCTCACTGCAACCACTGCCTTTCGGGTTCAAGCCATTCTCCTGCCTCAGGCTCCCATGTAGCTGGGATTACAGACATGTGTCACCACACCTGGGTAGCTTTGTGTTTTTAGTAGAGATGGGGTTTCGCCATGTTGGCCAGGCTGGTCTCAAACTCCTGATTACACGTGATCTGCCCGCCTTAACCTCCCAAAGTGCTGGGATTACAGGCATGAACTACCACGCCCGGCCTCCTATCCAGGAAACATTTTATCAAACATCTTCAAAATTCAAGTATAGTATTTAAAAGTATGAAATCAAGAGAGTAAGAAAAGGGTTATCCATTCAGCATTTAGACAAAGTTATAACTCCATTTTCTCTGGGTGAAAGAAAATCCTTGGTAACAGAGGCTTATGCCTTTTCCTACTTTTTTTTTCTGTAATACAGATTCCCAGGTCGCTCTTGTGACCTCCAGCCTTCCCTTCACAAGTTCTCCTCTCTAAAACCTTCTTACTTAGCAAGTCCTATTAGAACTCCCTAAAAAGCAAAAAAACCAGAATACTTTCTATGTTATTAGTCATGTTTCCTAAACATAGTAAATGTTTATTTTCACCTAAAGTAGTAATGAGTCTCTTGGTACTCAATGGACATTGCTGAAAGGTGGGGTCCATGTATTACAGAATAGCCATGTTTGCTGCAAAACCCCTATCTTAATAAAAGGAAAGCTTCAAAGACTAAAATGCAATGGGTAAAAGGAATACAATTAAGCTGATTAACTTACGCAGTTTCTTATGCTTGTTAAAGTACCTAACGGAACCTCTGAAAGCTGTCTAGATTATGATACTTACAGCTTAATGAGGTGGTAACAAGGGAGTAGGAAGGTTCTCTTGTTCTTCACAGTATCCTGGGACTTCATCTAGTACTGAGGCTGCACACTATTGCTTTAACAAAGATCTGGATTTTTCTTTTAAGTATATACACATTATGAGAGAATTTTAAAAGCTGAAAGAAACCTTAGGAGACTGTGCAGCCTAAGAATTTTTGGTTTTTAACTGTGAAATAATTTACTTAAAAGAAATCTTATGCAGAAACTCAAAATTTAAAGCAGATAAAAGTATATCTAAGAGAAGAGTACGAGCCTCACTTACTTGGGAAGAAGGTATTTCCTGTAGGAACCCCCCCAAAGCAGCTCCACAAAGCCCCAACAGAGCAGTTATAAACCAATGGGCTTAGTCTGACTTTTTCTCATATTACGGATGAGGAAATGGAGAAAACCAAGGCCTCCAAAGGTTAAGCTTCTTATCCTAAGGAGTTATTAGTAATGTAAAGGAGTTTTTAGTAATGTTTATCAGTAAGTGCATCGAGTTAGTAGTTAACACTAGTAATAGTGGGTGACTTACAAAGGATTGAACCCTTGGAAAATCTATATCAACCAGAGTTCTTTTTTTTTTTTTTTTTTTTTTTTTTGAGAGGGAGTTTCGCTCTTTTTACCCAGGCTGGAGTGCAATGGCGCGATCTCGGCTCACCGCAACCTCCTCCTCCTGGGTTCAGGCAATTCTCCTGTCTCAGCCCCCTGAGTAGCTGGGATTACAGGCACGTGCCACCATGCCCAGCTAATTTTTTGTATTTTTAGTAGAGACGGGGTTTCACCATGTTGACCAGGATGGTCTCGATCTCTTGACCTCGTGATCCACCCGCCTCGGCCTCCCAAAGTGCTGGGATTACAAGCTTGAGCCACCGCGCCCGGCCTCAACCAGAGTTCTTAATCAGCAAGTATATCCCTACACTGCCCTATTGGTGGTCTACTTCATATCTGTATTCAAAGGTATCAACTACCTTTCCCAAATCTATGGCAGATAAATTACTTCAGATCTCTGTACTACACTTAATTAATGGAAGCCACACCTTTCTGCACATTACCATTTCAATTATTATAAATTAACTAATAGCTCCTCTGATTCTGTTCTTTACTCCAAGCCCTTGTACATAACTGGGTTGATCAGAATTCAACTGTCCTGGTTTGAGACATTTCTGACCAAGGGAGCTTAGGAAAATAGTGGTGAGGAGTTAAGCATTAAATACACAACACCATGTTCTTCCATGTGTCTGTATATCCAAAAGCCCACTCCATTGAATGAACCTTCTTTCTCACCTGGGAATTTGGCTGGAATGCAGCATGGGGTGTTGAGTGTTTCTGTAAATTTTCTAGCATCAGAGCCTGGTATAGAGAAGGGTAAAAGTCAGAAATGAGGAAAAATAAGAAAAACAAACCCCCACCCCTAGCACAATCTCTTAATTAAATGCAATGGCTTAAATTCACACAATTAAACTGTATTTCTTTTCCAGGGACCTGAAATCCCTTTACTATCACTGCTCTCATTCCTCTCCAGAAGACCCTTAAAGGTAGCCATGGTTACTGCGACTAAATGAGCAGATATAAAACGCAGGCACACAGAATCAGTGACCTGGCTATGTCATAAAATCAGTAACAGAATCAGTATTACAATCCCTATTATCTTCTGCACTTTTGCCAAGTGCCCCTTCTAAATCTGACCATGCAGGTAAAATTACTTAAAATAGTCAAACCAGTTTTAAATATACAGAACCAACCAGCAGCCATGGGGCTCCTGGTTTTTGCCTGACGTTATTATTTGGTCAAAGAGTTATCCAGGATTAGAGTCAACTTGTGTTAATTTCCAGCAGAGTGGCACCTAGATTTATAAAATTTCCAAAGAGGAGGCTATAGAAAAAAATGACCACAGACCCTGTAAACTGTGGTCTAACCTAATCTATACATAAATATACACACACAACCCCACCCCTACCAGCTTCTAGTATAAGCAACGGTCTGCCAACTCAACCCTTGAGCCAACCCAGCCCTCATCTGCACTACCTGCCACGTATCCCATTGAACCCTAATTAAAACCAAAACATCCTCATCTTACCTTCTTTGAAACCAAACCTGAACAATCGAATCGATCTACACCTACCTCATGACAATCCCACCTTAATCTCAAACCGATTCAAAATCCCCAATATACATATCAACCTGCCTCACCTCTCTCACCAATATTCACCAAACTCTTAACCACCAAAATTGCTACTGGATGCCCTATAAATTAGACACCTCTCATCAAGTCCCTTCAAATAAAGGTCTCTCTTCATCTCACCTCCTCATCTAATCAAGCAGACATTTTACCCTACCCCAATCCTATTCCTGCGGATAGCGATACCAACCCCATCCCCCTCTCCGCGTAACTGTGCCCCTAACTCCGACCCAGCCCAACTCGCCCCCCTCAGGCCAGCAACGCCGGAGGTTGTAGTGGGATTTAACTCCTTCTGCAGCGCATGCGCCGAAACCACAGACACAAACAAGGAGGGGGTTGGGGAAGGAGGAAGGAGCTTAAGACACTCCTGGAGAGTAGTGCACACCCTCCCATTTTGGGCTCGCGCTGCTGCCGTTAAGGCGGGAACCGGCGCGATCTCCATTCTAGCGTAAACCTCACCAACCACCGTGCGCGCGGATCCAGAGGCTCGCGCTGGCGGCCTGGGCGAGCTCGCGCCGAGCCCGGATACTGCGCCTGCGCCGCGGCAGAGACTCGTCTCTACCGGGTCCGCTCTCCTCCGACACCCCAGCAACGCCGACTCCTTACCCCTTTGAGCCGCTTGACCAGGGCACTCTTCTGCCCGCTCTTGGCTAGGCCTCGCTGCTCCAGTGCGGCCTTCAGGTCGGTCACTCGCAGCGCCTGAAGAGGCTTCCCGTCCAGAGTCACCTCCTCCAGCTCCGCCATCTTGCGTGAGGTACTCGGGTCCGTCCCGACGGCTTCGGGCATCTTCGGTAATTTCCGCCAACGCCCTTCGAACGTACCCAGGTGACCCCGCCCACTGCCGTACTCTACCCCTCGATTACCACTCAGAACTCCCCGGGTTCCTCCGGATGTGCTCGGATATTTCCGTCTCCACATCGGCACCTATCAATTCTTTCCATCCGCCCTGCGGCTCCCTTTTTCTCGCCCTGCTTTCAGGCTCGGTTTTCTTCGTCTTGCCGAAGGTTTGAATCGAATATATTCGGAAGCCCTCGACTCGGGCATAACCATAATCGGAGATATTCGTCTATCTCCGGCCCTAGAGATGAGGCGCTGGGGCACTTGGGTGTTTGGGGCGGGTCCGAGGCCGGAAATGCGTGGGCTGCCGGGCTGGCCCAGCTTAGGGTTTTCAGGAAATTTGGAAGTTGTGGCGGTAGTTGTATTGTAAGGACTCTTGTGACAGTCTTCGGGTGCCCTCCGAGAGAAAAGGGGAGGTAAGCGGGGTAAAAGTATCTCTATGGGCCGGATCAGGTTTGGTGTTTGCGGATTACCCTAATAGGGCAAGCTTCCTACTCCTTTACGCAAACAGCTTCTGCCCTCTGTCCTCTGAATTCCTGCCACTCCCATCTTAGGCTTTTTTGGGGGTGGGAAGGCAGGAATCGGAATGACTAGCTCCGTGGCCTGCGAAGTGGGCAAGAGGCAGTGCCGTTTCTTCGGACCCAGACTGTGAACTGATTTATGACGCTGAACTTGAGTTTGAGTTTGTCTCGGAAGCCATGTTGCAAGATCCTGGAGAAGTTCTCCCATTCTCCGAAGAAGAGAATAAGGTCCTTTGGAGGAACTGCTTCCTGTAGGGCAAGAACTGGAAAATGCAAGCACCCTGAACTTTTTTGGTACTTGAACTAATTTTAATTATTAATTTTTTTGTCTTTTTTTTTTTGGTTACTCTACTCTGGGTCACTCCACTCTGTCCCAGGCTGGAGTGCATGGCATGGTCACGGCTCGCTGCAGCCTCAACTTCCGTGGTTCAGGTGATCCTCCCACCTCAGCCTCCGGAGTAGCTAGGATTACAGGTGGGCGCCCCTACACCTAATTTTATTTTTTGTAGAGGTGAGGTTTTGTCATGTTGCACAGGCTGGTCTCAAACTCTTGGTGTCAAGCAATCCTCTCACCTCGGCTTCCCAGAGTGCTGGGATTACTTTGGGAGTGCATGAGCCATCTCGTCTGGCCCATACTAAATATTAAAGGCAATTGCTCAAATACCTGGATTGTCATAAAATAGTGTAACATTTGTTAGATATCTAACAAACCAACTGGACTGTTATTTTAAATCTTGAATAAACACTGGGTTTCTGATTCTTTTACTGCGTTACCTAATTTTGAGCAAGACCCTTATTCTGCTCTTTAATTTTTCCTGTTGCTTTACAGGAAATGTAAGGAGGTAACGGATGTTATGAAGTTCTTGGCATATTTCAGAGGCTTATATGCACATTGAAGTCTTTTTTATAATAAATAATGTTTTTTCTTTTTCCTCCCACTGTTGATAGCTACAAAACAATTAGCTTCAGCCTTGACCAGCTGCAGGTATTAGATTTAAAAATGTGTGCTTTTTCATTTTGAAGAAGATGTGATGGACCAACATTAATCATTGTTTTTTTTTTCTTTACCCAACCTGGCATATAGGAGTAAGAGGGAGAGAATGAACACGAAATATAATTGGTTGGTTATTTTTAGGTTTTTTATAAGAAAGATGGAGGGAGACAGTAGTCAGGGAAGAATGGGTTTGGAAAAGAAAAAAGCAGGCAAATATGAAATGAAATTATTTTTGGTGATTTCTCTAAGGTAGGATAATAATGGAAATAAAAGACTCTTTGTTTTGGGTCCTTGAATTGGTAAATAGTAATTTCTCTGTAGATGCTAATTGAGCTTGGTAAGATTTCTTGTTGCTTCAAAGTTGTATTTTCGTTGCTCTATCTGGAGCGTATATAACAGTGCTTTTATATTTCAGGATGCCACTGGAGTCATCTTCCTCTTCAATGCCACTATCCTGCCCGTCTCTCTTACCCTCAATACCACACAACACTAACCCTTCCCCTCCTCCAATGTCTTACATCACCTCCCAAGAGATGAAGTGTATTCTTCACTGGTTTGCCAACTGGTCATGTCCCCAGCGTGAACGTTTCCTAGAGGACCTGGTAGCTAAGGCAGTGCCAGGAAAATTACAGCCACTGCTGAATAGTCTGGAGCAGCTTAGTATGTCTGGGGCAAACCGACCACCTTCTATCTTTGAGTGCCAGCTACATCTTTGGGATCAGTGGTTTCGAGGCTGGGCTGAGCAGGAGCGCAATGAATTTGTCAGACAGCTGGAGTTCAGTGAGCCAGACTTTGTGGCAAAATTTTACCAAGCAGTGGCTGCTACAGCTGGTAAGGACTGATAGGCATTCAGACCAAAGAAGATAACCATAGCTGAGCCAAGACTCTATGTATATGTCACAAGGCCATGACTCTGCAATGAGAACTCAATTCAAATGTGTCACCTAAAGGACTGGAACTGGTATTCCAACCAACTGACTGAACTCATTGACCAGTACAGGCATAGTTATTTCAACACTAATAGCATGTCAAGTGGACTCCAACTTGTAAATGTTATCAATCTAGGCAATCAAGCTCATCGGTCTACTAGTTTGCTTCTTTTTAAGAGACGTCAAATCTTCAAGAATTTGATGGCTTCTTCTGTAGCTCTAAACAAAAGGAACCTACACATTGTAACTCAAGCCCACTGCTGGTTTATGAAGTGTGTAAAATAGAACCCTCCTTCCCCAGAAATAGGACAATAAAAGGTGATATTTTTTTACACTTTAACTGGATTCTATTGTCTGGTTTTACCGCTCTTACCAAATTCTAGTGTAATTGTGTGGTATCCAAACCATTAGCTTTCCCAGTGATGATTTAATAAAATTATGAAAAATCAGGAGAGGGAGATAATTAGTTACTTCCTCCTCCGCACTGTTTGAATCCAAATAGCAGTAACTTTTTTTTTTTTTTTTGAGAGATGGGTTGTCACTGAAGTTCGGAGTGCAGTGGCGTGATCATCAGTGAGTGTGAGATCACTGTAACCTCAAACTAGGGTCAAGTAGTCTTCCTACCTCAGTCTCCTGAGTAGCTAGGACTGCAGGCACGCACCACCATGCCTGGCTAATTTTTAAATTATTATTATTTTTTTTGAGATGGAGTTTCGCTCTTGTTACCCAGGCTGGAGTGCCATGGCGTGATCTTGGCTTACCGCAACCTCTGCCTCCTGGGTTCAGGCAATTCTCCTGCCTCAGCCTCCTGAGTAGCTGGGATTACAGGCAAGCGCCACCATGCCCAGCTAATTTTTTGTATTTTTAGTAGAGACGGGGTTTCACCGTGTTGACCAGGATGGTCTCGATCTCGACCTTGTGATCCACCCACCTCGGCCTCCCAAAGTGCTGGGATTACAGGCGTGAGCCACTGCACCCGGCCTTAAATTATTTTGTAGATATGAGGGTCTTGCTATGTTGCCTAGTCTGGTCTTGAATTACTGGCTTCAAGCAATCCATTCTCACCTTGGCCTCCCAAAGTGCTGGGGTTACAGGCATGAACCATCATACCTTTTTCTAAAGCATATGTATGTGATATTCTTAGAACTGGTAACAGGCCTATTCTGTAAGTTTGCTTTACAACAATATGAAAATAAGTGAAATTACAGGTTGAACAGTTTATTTTTGTACCAAAAATAAAGAATGGATCTTGAGAACCGCAAAACACCCTTTTTTCATTGCCAGGCTGTATAAAATTGATATCAGGAAAGAGGCATTCCAAAGAAAGTAGAACTTAAGTATACACAATAAATTTTCCATTCAGTTGCCTTCCAAGAAAGATTCTCTTCCTACCCACATCACGTTCTGGGCATCATCACACCTCCCTTATTCCTCTAACTGGGACCCTTGTGCCATGGAGCTCTGGTGAATGGTAAGAGGCAGATGGCCTCACAGGAAGAGTGGACGTTTTCCGGTAGGCTATGGTTCCCAGTACACCCACCAGGATTAGCAGCATTAGGCAGAGTCCCATGGACAGCCTTAGGTGGGTCATGGAGGGATTATGGTCTGAAGTAACCAGGAACCTAGAAACATAAAGGTAATATCTGGCCTGGAATAATGCCTTTTTTTTTTTTTTTTTTATTGAGACGAGGTCTTGGTCTTGCCCAGGCTGGAGTGCAGTGATGTAAACTTGGCTCACTGCAACCTCCACTTCCCAGGCTCAAGTGGTTCTCCTGCCTCAGCTTTCCGAGTAGCTGGGACTACAGGTGCACGTTACACCACTATGGCCGGCTAAGGGGCTTTACCCTTATCAAAAGAACTCATGAAACCCTGTCTCATCCAAGCGTTAAGCTAAACAGGAAATCATTAAGAGGGACTATAGAACCTCAAAGTAGGGATAAGATCACTATCTAAGTCTTCGAGCATCTTAAATTATTGGAAGAAGACCTAACTTGGCAGCGAGGGAAGTAGCTTAAGGGAAGAGACAGTCTATGGTCTTTAGGTAGCTAGACACAATCCCTGAACGGTGCTTAAGAAAGGAAGGGAGCTGGGAGCAGTGGCAGTGGCTCACACCTGAAATCCCAGCACTTTGGGAGGCAGAGGCGGGTAGATTGCTTTAGCTCAGGGGTCTGAGACAAGCCTGGACGACATGGCGAAACCTTGTCTCTACAAAAAAATACAAAAATTAGCTGGGCATGGCGGTGTGCACCTCTAGTACCAGCTACTCGGGAGGCTGATGTAGGGGAATCACTTGAGCCTAGGGAGGTTGAGGCCACAGTGAGCTGAGATCACCCCACTGCATTCCAGTCTGGGTGACAGAGCAAGACCCTATCTCAAAAAAAAGGTAGGGGGGACTAAGATCCCTATGTCCTAGAGGTGGGAGAATGTATTATTGTACGGGAGGCAGGAGTCGGGTAGTGATCATGTTAGGGATCTTTGTTCTCTAAAACGCATAACTCTGTCTAGGACAATATACACACGAGTGAGTGCTTAATTAATTTCAAACATCTGGACTCCATGAATTTGAAAGAAAAATACTTGGAGTATTATCTTACTTGCTGGGTTCTGTGGTGAAGTTGGCTCCGCCATAATACACTTGTAGGGGTTGTTTCTGGAGAGTCAGAGTCAGGGCCCTGTGCAGCATGGCAACTGAAGGCCCTTGGCAGCCAGGGTACTTCCACATATGTACAGTAAACACCAAGCTAGTGGTAACTGATGGGCTGTGGAAATAGCACCTAAATGGACATTTGGATCTTTTAATAGAGGTATAGTTCCTGGAAGAGTATATCTCATGAAACAGGTGCAGGCTTAAGAATGGGATGAACAGAAAGTCTTCAGAGGAGAGTCATAAAATAAAGGACTTAGGGATTCTTCTTGGCCCATTGATAAGGACTCAAGCTTTTTTTTTTTTTTTTTTTTTTTTTTTCTTTGAGACGGAGTTTCGCTCTTGTTACCCAGGCTGGAGTGCAATGGCACGATCTCGGCTCACCGCAACCTCCGCCTCCTGGGTTCAGGCAATTCTCCTGCCTCAGCCTCCTGGGTAGCTGGGATTACAGGCACGTGCCACCATGCCCAGCTAATTTTTTTATTTTTAGTAGAGATGGGGTTTCACCATGTTGACCAGGATGGTCTCGATCTCTCGACCTCGTGATCCACCCGCCTCGGCCTCCCAAAGTGCTGGGATTACAGGCTTGAGCCACCGCGCCCGGCCCAGTACTCAAGCTTTTACCTGCCAGTGCCACTTCTGCTCGCCAAAGCCTGCAGTACTGCTTCAGCCAGCTCTTCTTGCTGTTCCTTTCCCAGGGAGTGGCCTGGAGGCCCAGCTAATTCTAAAGAGAGCTGGAATGGCGGATCTGGGGTTGAAAGACTCACAGGTGGGGAAGAAACAGCCTTGATATCTTCATTAGTGTTACACAACTGACCCCGGGGACAGAAGAGAAGACCATAGTACCCAGGTATCTGCAAAGAAATATGTAGCAGGATATAGTTTTGCCTTGATTATCTGCTCAAGTCTTCCTTCTAAGGAAAATGTATATTCTAGATCAGTCATGGACTCAGTGGGTACTTAGGAGAAACGTATGCACATCAAAACAGGTTGGACAGTACCACCATACAGGTATTTCCCAACTTCTTTTTGCCAGTATGCCACAACTATTCCTTTTATGGTACCCACCTGAATAACCTTTCCTGGAAGGCATGGGACCCAAGGTGAGCCCTCCGCCTGCACCTTGTAAGCTCCCCTCCCTGTGCACTGATGTAAGTAGCAGCGTCCAGTGAGTTCTGCTTTCTTGAGGTGTGGGATACGAGAAAGATGCCTGGTCTTATCCCCAGGGAGTAGCTGTGAAGTGAGGTTGGCAAAGAAGCAACGGCTCTGGGGATGGTAGATCTCCCCATGGGGATTCTCCACCCCAGCAGGGAATCCGTTTTCCTTCTTCCAGCATTCACTCTGAAGGGCAGGTCAGAAGGTAAAACAGTGTTTGTTCTGATGCCTTTGCAGTTGACTGCCTTCCAGACCCACTCAACTCCATTGTCTGCTCTCTTGTCTACTCACCCCATTGGCTAAGGGCTTGTACATGCGGCAGCCTTCCATCATGGGGTCTGAGGAGCAGCTTCCCTTGTCCAGGTGCAGGTAGTGGCAGCCGAGTCCACTGTGTGGAAGGGGATGACAGAGTGACACTAGGATCACTGACAGCCATACAGTCCCCTAACCACTCAGCACACACACCTGCCAGTACAGAAGAAGTCTGAGGAGCCAGTCCCACATGTGGTCACCAATCCAAATTCCAGGCCAGATCCTGCTTGAGAGATGAGAAAGGAAGGAAAGAAAGCCCTCAACAAATGAAGCCCAAACATCTTTCAGCACCAGCTATGTTCATAGCATCAATTATACCTCAGCAGCAGACTCCCCTCCAGCCCTCCTACTTCCCCCAGAGCTGACTTGGGTCATGAGTGCTCCTCTGCATGTTTCCCTTACTTCTCACCCTGGCCCCACAACAGCTCCTCTGCAGTGCTGTGGTTGACCTGGTACCAGCCTGAGTCTTCAAAGGCAGCAAGCGTGATTGGGTCGAGTCGAGTGCGCTGAGCTCCATCAAAGGTAGCAGTCATTAAAGAACCCTGGAGTAGTCTGGCCTCCCAGTGCGAGGACAAAGGGCCCTCCTGGACATGGTGGCAGATAGCTGGTTGTTACCTGGCTACTCCTTTCTTCCATCACCCCACGGTGTTCTTATCCTCACCTCTTCTTCCAAGGGAACACCCACTGAAGCCCCTGGCACTCCCAGGTGTTTGGCCAGGCTGAGGCTAGCAGCTGGGGTGGTGAGAAGCAGTTGTCCCCATTCATCTTGCCTTGTCACTTGTTGCCTTGTAGAACAGTTCTCTCTAACTGAGTGCAGAAAGGGAAGAAGGCAATATGAGAAGAAAATGAGGAAGGGTGAAGTAAAATTGGAAGGAAGGAGGTTATAGGGTAGGAATTCCCTCTGGTTGATTGTGGGAATTCCTCAACCTCATTCCTCTCATTTACCACTGAATCCTGAGGGGCAGTCTCGCCATTTCTTGAAGAGCTGTCCAGAGAAACCGAGGGCATGGAGCAATTCGTGTATTGTGACCTAAGAACAAATGATCACCCAGTAAGGGGGCCACATTTGCAGCAGGATTGACCAAACACTCTATAACCCCTCTGCCCAATCAGCTCTTCCAAGAGCTTGAGGCACCTTCTTTTCCATCCTTCACTTTATGAGAAGCTGAGTAACCTGCCCCCCACCCATCCTGCAACCTGTTTGCTTCTCATAGTCATCATGCAGCAGTCACCATGACGATGTCACTGTGGCTGAGGCTGGGGCTGTTGAGATGTTGGGCACAGTAGACAATGGTGCCAGCAAGGGGCCTGTCTTCTGAGTCCAGCTGGCAGCAGGCA